AATTAGCAGCTAACTGTGTGGCACATCGGAAACCTGCACGAGAAGCTGCAGGGCTGTCTGTTTGCTGGGTGTTCTTCTGTTTGTCTTGAAAACCCTTGAGGACCCATCTAGCCTTACATTTCTGGAAGTTACCATCTTTGTCTTTCTTCACGGTAAGAACCCATCTTCCGGCTACAAAATGTCTGACTCTGGTCTTTCTCATGTCAACAAGATCAAAAACTTCATTGTCAATCCAAGATTGGCATTCAGCCTTTTTGGCATCTAAAAACTGTTTGGCAAGTTGTCGCTTTTCTTGCTGAGTGGCTTCCTTTCTCTTCTTGCCAACAAGATAAGAAAATTTGTCAGTCATAGAATACAATGTCATAAAGGCTTTATCTTCATCATTAATGCCGTGATATTCTTCAATGATATCAGATCTAGTCTTACGGCAGCGGGTGCGTTGTCTCTCCGAAACAGCGGAATAGGACATACCAATGGAATTTGTCCGGTTGCGGATCATTCTCCGGCATTGGTGAAGGATTAAAAGGTTCATCTCCGTCTAGCGGAAGTATCGGTGGTCCACTGTGACCGGATGGTCCTGCATGTGGGTCAGGCTCATCATCATCAAAGTCATCAGGCACAGCATCATCCTTGGGTTTCTTCGGTTTTGAAGTACTCGGAGCGACTACAGTGGGTTGTGTGGTCGCGTTTGGTGTGACTGATGGCTGTGTATCACCCCCCAAATGGTTACTAGGCTGAAATTGGGTTGAAGACGCAGGAGGCATTTGTCTAGATGGTCGGGCCTTAGTTGCAGGTGGTATCGGCGGATCACCCGGTGGTCGTTTGGTACTCTGTATCAGGTGGTATCGGTGGATCACCCGGTGGTCGTTTGGTACTCTGTATCATTGGTGTGTCTTCAATGTTTGGTGGTATAATCGTATTGGGCACAATAACTGTATCTGGAGCAACAGGAATGCCAGTGGCTCCAGGAAATGGTGGTTGAGGATGATCAGGTGGTGACGATGGATGTGGTGGTAGATCAGGTGGTTCATCTGGCGGTGTGTGCATCTCATCATCTGGCATGTCATCATTTGGTCGTGGTGGTGAATGGAACGGTGTGTGAAAATGATCATCATCAGGAGGAAAGCCGGGATTCGGCGTATGCGGTTCATCTGGCATAGGAACGTCCGGAAGGTGTGGTGATGACGGTGGAGTGTTAAACTGTTCAGGCGGATTGTCATCATCTTGGTTGTTGTTCTGCTGAGGTGGAAGACCCGGTGGAGGGTCGATGTTGGTGTTCGGTTCAGGAGTGTTGTCGGTATTGTCTGTAGGAATACTTCCATCATTGTTCCAAAACAATATTGCTGACCAGTGGCTAGCAATCAGTTGCGACAAATCTCTAGGATGTACTCGCAGAAAAACATGAGACATATCCTTCTTCTTCCAAAGTAAGAGTGCGCCCGTGCGTGTGGCGGTATTCAACGCGTAAGGACTGAAAACTACCACGAAAAATGGCTGCGTTGTCAAACATGGACGTACTTAGATACATCTGTCTGACGTGTGAAACATCTTGTTGTGCTTCGATCTGAACAGGATGATCAACAGTACCAACGGGTAGAGCATTAATGCGGTTGAGCAAGCGTTTCGTGTAGTAGTCGCGTACTGGAAGACCCTGTTCGTACAATTCAGTTGCCAACACAGGATGCTCTGATGCCGTAAGTGCGGCAAGCTGATTTTGCACTCCTCGCAATTCATCGAGATCCAAATCTTCCAGCAGGTCTACAGCAAGTGACAACTGCGATGGATAGAGAGCCCTTGGAATTCCAAGCGGAAGGATGCATCTGATCAAAGTGCTACAGAATCTATATGGATAAACTTGTGCCAACTTTGTTCTTGATCCATAACCCGGAGCACTACCTTCCAGTGGTTGATGAAAGTGAGTTAGATCCTTTTTGGATTTATTACTACATCTCTTGAAAATTGGATTCAAGACACCATCAGGAAAGCTGTGAAGTAAAGATGCTGGCTTGTAGTGGTAGTATCCATTTGGGTCTCTCATACCAAAAGCACACATATCTAACGTACCGTAGGTTACGGCATGCTTCATGAGAAGGCGTTGAAAGCATTTGGTGAACCAAATTTTGGAAGTCGCAGGGTCTTCAATGATAAAATATCTACCATGTTCAATCTGATAAAGAGCGACCCTGGCACAAAATTCTACCATGGGAAGATACTTTTTCCTTTTCTGATAAGTATCTGATGGATCATTAATATTTTGCATTTGACTCCATGGTCCACAAACAGGTGCCATGTGGATGATCTTTGGCTGTTGTCGCTCAATGACTTCCATGGCCTTTCGCCATCCTTCGGCAGTGAGCAAATCGTAACCTGTTCTCAAATCTATTGGAGCACCAACTCGAAGTCCTTGCATGGCTGCCGACTGGCTAAGCTTGGCGGAACCACTAAACATCTCTAAGAAATCTATCCTTCCTACAGTAGTTGGTTCCCAGGCATAATTACCATACTGGATGCCTTCCGGACCTGTCTGGGAGGCATCATGCTACATGATTTTTTTGGCAAAGTCATCGGTTCTACATGTGGACTTCGATGTTGCTGTACAGGCATCTTTGGCCGAAAATTCGGCACTGGCAAGTGCGGCAGAATCCAGAGGTACATCGACATCTTCGATCGGATTGTGATCTTTTCTGATCTTGCTGATGTTGACCTTCACAATTCTGGTACCTAAGTCAACTCCTACCATGCTACCATCTACTGAAACCAACTTTCCTTTTATCCATTTTCCTCCATGTGAACCGTCTGATTTGATTTTTGATTTGTCTTCGGTCCAATAGTAAACTTTATCACCAGAAAAGAATGGTCCATCACTGAGTTGGAGTTTACTTGCAATGTCTCTTCGAAGGTCATCAGACTGTTTGGCCTCTAGAAACTTTCGCATCGCCAGCGACCTTAGTGCTTCAATCTGTCTCTCAGGAGCAGGGGCCTCAGTAGTGAGCTGTGCTGGATTCACGAGTTCAATCGCCGTAATGTCGGCAGGTCTTCTTCCAAATGCTAGTTCAATTGGAGTGACACCACCATGTGTTACCATGGTATTCCTTGAAATGCAGGCTTGTCTCAACAACTGTTTGTAAGTAATGTTGGCAAGCAAAGGATCGTCTTTCAAGGAAATAAGCATCAATGAGACCTGTTTCTTAAACATGCGAACGGCTGCCTCAGCTCGGTTTGGCCAAGGTGTACCTGGTCCTAGAGAGATTGGCCGGATGTTATGCCTGCTGTGATAGCTCTCCATTTCAGTGCCCATAAAAGCTTTATCGGCAACAATGTATTTGGGATTCAGCTGATAAGTTTCAAAGTACTCTTGAAGATGAGATATCGTCACCGTATCGGATCTATTCTGAACTACAAAGGCAGTAGTCAAAGAAGTTGCACCATCATACATAAGTAGGAATTGAAGTTTTGACTGAGGATTGATAGGAACTTCTCCATGATCAATGAAAGTAAGTTCACCAAAGACTTCACTTCGAATTCCTGAAACCTTAGCTCTCGAGGGTGCAATTTTGGCCTTGGAACAAGTGTCACATGATTTCGTTATCTGGTCAAACTTGTCATAAATTTCCTTTGGCAACTTCAGAGCTGATGTTCTTCACTTGAATTGTTCAGTTGTCATGTGATAATGCTCCAAATGTAATTTGAGAAGTTCAGTAGGTGATTGAAGCTTATCAGATTATCATGAATTCTCTGAAGTGCAAGTGACAATGTTCCTTTAGGTGACGGTTCCTTCTTCTCTTAAAATTTTACTTCAACCTTTGGTTCCGGTTTGACCTCGGGTTCTTCTTCAATCTGAGGTTCCCGACGTCTAGGAACTCCGTCCTTTGAACCGGAACTTGGTCCCGAGGCCACCATTGGCTCGTCATCAGGATCAAAAGGTTGAACTGGTACATCTAACTTGCTCTCAGGCTGAATTACCTTCTTGACATTTTTCTTGGAATCAGACTTGGCCGGTTTCGGCACTTGGGCTGATTTTGGCTATGATACTTTGAATCTCTTACTACAACCTTCCTTGTTTGTGTATGGACGATGTTTACCATTGCATGCTGGGCATGTGATGTCTTCGGACTGAAAGCTGCACATCGGTTTCCAACTGGAAGTAGCAAGAGCCATAATGTCAAGGACTGGATGGTTGGATGTGCTGACCGCCAATGCGGCGCGTTGCATTCCGAAAAGTGGGCAAGTCATAAACTCACCTACAGGAGTATGTTCAATATTCATGCGAAGGTTCCGCATTTGTTCAACTGAGAAGAGGATAGGAACCTTACCTTAAGCCATACAGCAACATCCACAAGGCAAGTCAAAGTTAGAGATTTGATTCTTGAGTGCAAGCCCTCAAGAATGCAGTACCTTCTTCCGAGCTGTTCTGCATGGTTTAAGCTGCACGAAGTTACATCATGCTGCATCATCTTGCATCATTCAGTAGAGCCCAACGTAGGCCCAACATGGCCCCAACATGTCCCCAAGATATGCCTCAAAAAGGCATTTTCATCTGGGTTCCGGCATGGGTGCCCAGATGAACAGTCAATATAATATAGGGCCCAACATGGCCCCGACATGAGCCCAAAAACGGTGTTCATCTGGGGACCGGTATGGGTACCCAGGTGAACACTCAACATACACTGAACATATACATAGGCTCAAGATGGCCCCGACATGACCCAAACGTGTTCTTTTAGGCCTGGTACCAAGGATGTATCAAGCCCTTCAGTAAGAGAACACGACGTTCTTGGCCCAACATAGGCTCAGGAGCACTATGCGCTTCACTTGCCAGCCCAAATAGACCAAATATATAGGTGAACCGGATATGTCTGGATGATGCAGAGTTTGCATGGTTTGACCTAGGACCTAGCTGTCACTTCCAGTGTGGCCTTGGAAAGTTATATATGTTATATAATGAAACTGTTTCACTACATAACTTACTGCATAAAATTTCTTGAATCTCAGGCCATCACCAAGTCATCCAGCTTCTTGAGTGTCTCTGGGTCATCAAAATTTCGCCTCGGTTGCAGTTGCTCCTCTTGGTACAGGGAAGTGATGAAACACAAATGAATCCCTAGCACAAGCAACGGCCACCATACACGCACAATCACATCGTTCAAGTTTGACTCGGCATGAATCAAATGCGGCTTTGAAGAGACAGTATATAATATTATGTGCATACAAGTTGCCCCAATTTCACGCCACCCTTCTTCTCAATCTCTTCAACCATGGAAATGCGAGGCCAGGGCGGTGTAAAATCTATTTCCACTGGAGGACTGTCAGGTCCGTTTGGGTGGTACTCGATCTTGTAGCTGCCCTTAATGTTCAGAACCATTGCACTGAAGAGCTCTTCCGTCATGTCCATCAAATCATTGTAGTCCGCATATGCCATGTAGAACTCGCATGCGGTGAATTCCGGATTGTGCGTCAAATCAATGCCCTCATTGCGGAAGTTGCGGCCGATCTCAAACACTCGGTCTAGACCACCAATCACTAGCATCTTCAAGTAAAGCTCTGGAGCCACCCGCATGTACAGGTCTAGGTCCAGCTCATTGTGGTGAGTGATGAAAGGTTTTGCAGTTGCACCACCTGCAATCATATTCATCATGGGTGTCTCCACTTCAAGAAAGCCACGACTATCGAGGAAATGGCGGATGAAGTTCACAATCTTGGATCTGATGTAAAATGTGCGCCTGACGTCCTCATTGAGCATTAAATCCAGGTAGCGCCGACGGTAGCGCACCTCTTGATCCTTAAGTCCTTGGTGATCCTTTGGCAGCATGTGCAGGCAGGTGGCCAAGAGCTTCACCGCCTTTGGGAAAACAGAAAGTTCTCCTTTGTTCGACTTGCCAACGAAGCCTCGAACGCCCATGATATCACCACGATTGATCCTTGGATTCATAGTGGCGTTCAAATTGTTCAATGGGCACTACTTTTACACGGGGGCCCCGCAAGGGTGGCATCTGGAGAAGCTTGTGACTGATAAGTACTTCAAAACATCCAAAAGTTCAATGTGAGGACACACCACCAGGCAAAGAGGTGCAACATGGTGCAACAGAGTTGCTTTTGGATCCAACCCGGCCCATGTCACATACAAAAATAAAATAAAATAACTACACATATATATATGTATATATATATATATAAATACGTTGGCATTTATTGTCCAACGTATAACACGCAAAGAAAAGAAATCTTTCAGCATGACTTCAGGTACTTGGCATGTTCTTCTTCAAAATCGCCATCCTCATGGTGTTGAGCTTGGCACATGACTTGTACCCGGACTCCATCAGCAAAGAGATCATAGAACATGAGCTTTGCACCAGAAGTTCGTTTGTTCTTGACGCGGCCTGCTATGGACACGATCCTTAGCAGGTATGATCGCATGGGGCTCGGTCGGCATGTAACAGAAATCATAGGAAATAAACAAAATCAATGCCTTCAGGCAAGGGAGGATGTTCCCAGACTTGAAAGCCCAAAATGCAGAAACACCAAGCAATGTGGAGACCTCTTTCCATTCACTTACTCTGCTTCTATGTCAAGCAACTGTGTGGAGAACGTCTTCTTTTATATATTGGGAACAAGGTCTAAAAGAGGGAATGGCATGAAATCAAATGCTGCATGAACCATGAGCAGCTATCATGATTTGTCATAGCTCTGCGGACATACATCAGGAGACATCAGGAGTCAAGTGGCTCAGACTCCAGGTGTGCACCAGCCTCAATGTCCTTGTACTTCTCGATGAGGGCCGGAATGGAGATGTTTACATCCCATTTGTGAGGATATGGGTCACTGAGCCGCTTCAAAGCAGCAATGCGATTTTCTCGATACTTCGAAGGATCCAAGTCCTGGAATGTGCGGGATCCACCGATATCGGCCATGCTGCAAAGTGTGGATGTGTCGATGGCAAACGCATGCAAACGCTGAGTTCGTCAAATTTCCTAAACACAAAGGACCTCACCCGCTGCCATGTTTCCTCCAATTTTTCCTCCACCTTCCCAGAAGCTTGAGCCTGTCAGGACAAGGGCAAGGCAACACATCAAGCCCCCAGTCAAATGCTCAAGATGGGAATCGATGGGACCTGAAAACGACACAAAATCACTAAGTCACTGTGCCACGTTATGCCAAGTTTGCAAAGATTGCAAGGGGACAAACCAGGCTGCCTGTTCCGCTTTTTCAGCAGCCTTTTTGGCCTTCTCTTCCGCCCTGGCTTTCGCCTCCTGCTCCTGGAAAAAACATGAAGAAAGAAGATTAGCATAGACTGGAATAGACTGGACTTAGGGCACCGCTTCAGCATCTCAAAATCTTAAAAGGAAACCCGGCTTTTCTCATCTTTTCTCTTTCACATTTCTCATCCTTTCCATGTTGTGGCCCCAGAGCTTGCCACTCGGCCCTTGAAAGACTCTTTTGCCACGCTTTTTGCGCCGGCTGCCGTCTCCTTCTTCAGCCGCTTTCGTTCTGCTGCTGGGAGGCGATCACCTTTCTCCGCCTCCATGGCCTCTGGGCCTCGGGGCCGGGCCTTGCAATGCAAAGACTCGGAGTGACTCGGAGTGACTCGGAGTGACTGGGGCCTAAATGGCTGTGATCGGGACATGTTGCGACATGTATGCAATATAGACATGAAACAGTGATGAAACAGTGATGAAACATGATAAAGTTGAGATGGCAAAAGAACCCTAGCATCCAATCTTTTTGACGGAACTGCAGCTTGAGCTGTTGTCACAGCGCTCTCTCAGCTGACTTTCCGTCCTTGCTCTGCACCAGGCATCAGTAGCAGCAGTCTGCGGTACACATGGCTAGTGGCACATCATCCTGCCGCAGAAGGTATAGAAAGGCATCAAAACACGGGAATTGCGCAATGTGCTGACGTGTGCAGAAATGTGTCAAACTGTACCAGCGCTTTTGATCTGCGCAGTTTCTGTTTTCTTTTTCTCGCATCTTCCCACTTCGGAGGGTGAAGTGCCCAAACTGCTCAACTCAGCCGGAATATTGCAAACCAAAGCAATTGTCCCCGTCTATGCATATTCTGTGCATATTCTAGGTATATTCTATGCATATGCCATGCATTGTCTACGACCATGCGATCCATGCAACATCACTAAACCAACTCACTGCCAAGGCACCGGCAGATCCTTGAACACTGTGCTGTTGTACTCTTTCGTTCCAGGGACTTCAGCCAAAGCTTCGCACGGCTGACACGGAGGAATCGTGACATAATTCACCAGGAGATGGGTCACGCCTGAGTTTGCGAGCTAAGCATAGCTGACATAGGCCCAGTATTCAACTTCATTTTGGGGCCAAGTAGTGAAGTATGAATCCGGCTTTGCTTAAGATTAAATAGGCAAACACGCGTAAACATGTTGCATCTAAAATATCTATATAAATGAATTAGAGTCGTGATTGTTGAAGATTTTTGCCACGCGTCTGGCCACTGGCCAGGTGGTCGGTTAGAAGCCTCCACTGTCAAATCTAAGCTCTGGTTTTTGGATATTTTTGGTTGAACATGCAGCTAAGACAGTCAAGATCAGCTAAGCAACTGTACAAAGCGCCGTTGCATTCTTGAGTTGCTGACAAAACGTCGGATGTTGACATGGCATCCAAAATGCACTCAATTCTTTGTAGGGCCTTCCACTCTTGATGAAGAGTATCTTCTCTGGCCTTTACCGTATGATGAACCAAATCATAGGACAGTGTGGCCTGGGACCTGCATGCCTTGTACTGCGCGCAGGTTGTACTCATTGATGTGGAAAGTTCACACACCGAGGAGTCCAGCATGCTCTGCATCGAGTTGCAGCTGGAGCGTTGCCGCTGAATTTCTCTGGCCTGTCCTTCGCACACAGATTCCTGCAGCTTCAATGCTCCAGTAGTGTTTGCGCACAGGAGCCTTCTTATATGAATGCTTTTCAGCCGCTCCTGAAATTGAAGTAGCATCCGGCGATGATAAGTTTCTGCATCCTCACCATTAACAGATGCACAACTTGCAATGTCTGGGATCTGATCCATCATCTTGGCACCTTCACAGGTGGATGCATCCACCTGCTTTGATGATTGCAACGTCTTTTCACATGATGCTAGCTCATGCCCCAGGTTGCTCTCCTGCCAGCGACACGCCTTGCGATTCGCAATCAGAACTGGGATGGCCTGTTGCTTTATGAAAGACGTGTTCAGCCCAACTTCGCGTTCTATTTCGCACTTTGCGAAAAGGCTGCTGAAATCTGCAATCTGAGCCTGAATCAACCTATGCTCTGCAAGAATTCGTGGTTTCAGCTGGTCTGAAATGGTCGCCATCACATCTGCTTTGACATGCTTGATGAGATCCCTAGGAGCTTGTGACAAGCCTTGTGCCATTGATACCAAGGTTGCCTCCATACTGTGTATAAAGGGAGCCGACGACGAGACAGTTGCATTGGACGATGTCGCAGTTCTGACGGATGCCAACAGCGAGGCCAGTTGTGGATACTCCCCGCGAGCATCGTTTGAATCATGCCTGAGGAACAAACACTCCCCAAAGTTGGCAGCCAGGGTGGCAAAAACGATGTACCATCCGGACGCTACATTCATTGATCAGGAAATCAAGGCCCGAGTGGTGCACCATGACGCGCACCCCCCCAGAACCCCCTGACCTTGAACCACACATTTACACGCAGCTGTTCACCACCCTGAAGAAAGGACAACTGTTACCTGTTACCACAGGGTGGAAACATGGGCAAAGGCTAAGGACGCTAAGGCATCAAAATAGCTCGTCCCGCACGATTTTCAGCATGAGGCGGCAAAGGGGAGTGGTAGCTGGTAGCTGTACACACTCAGCACATCAGGCTGCATGTCTGCTGGGCAGGCAGTTTGCACGAAAGCCACTGCTCTTTGGGCAAGCCCTCGCTTTTTAGAAATGAAGATCCAATTAAATAACATCTTTGCTTAGGCCAGCTTTCGGACCACGATGCTGCTGGCACAGAACAACACCCCACACTTACAAAATCGTTCAAGTGTCTTCCAGTGTGGTGCTTCTGGTTCCCACAAAGTCAGATTATCTACATGGAAAAAAAATCGCGGAGGCAATTGGCACGACATGCACGACTCATAGTGCCACCCGCATAGCTTCGCCTGCTCGCTGCTTGCACAAACATTCCTTATGCAAGTTCGCTGCCCAAGGTTTTTCTATGCGAAGAGCCTGCAGCTAAGCAACGCACGGCCCAAAGTGCCCGAACAAAACGTGCGACATCTACTTTCTCAATGGAAAAAGTAGTAGCATGTTTCTTCAAGACCTCTGCCATGTCGATTAGCACCAAACGTTCAAACAACTTGTAATTATATGGTGGTTGATCTAAATTCCTTTATCTGCAAACGGCCATTGTTCGCGAATAAAAAAATACTTTCGCGAATCTTTCGCAAACCCCACGTTTATCTTTCGCCGGGGTCTCATGTTAAAATCTTTGGCTAAAACGTTCGCTCAAAAAATACTTTCGCAAACTCAGAATAAAATTCCCCGGGGTCTCATGTTGGAACCATGGGGGCCTTTGTAATGGACAATCTCTACATAGATGTTTAGATCGACAATCACAAGTGGAGGGTACTTGGGCCATCTAGCAGGACATTGCATCTCGCCATCTATATATTTTGATATATTTTGTAGAGAAAATGGTCACAGGGATGTTGTGACACTGTTCCGTCGATGTCTTTTAAGTTCTGCCCTTGCCACCAAAAATGAGCCTGAGGCATCCGAAGTACCGCACCTGCCACGCGAAATGATCACCAGGCACCAAACCTGAAAATAATAGCAACATACAGCAACTTCACAAACCGACCGCTTTCAGTTTTTCAATCCATCGTCCGAAAAAAACGCGTTTGCCACACGAAATGACCTCCAACGACACCTCTTCTTTTGGCCCCCGGCTTGCCAACGTTTAGCAACGCGCCCGAAATAATGCGTTTGCCATGCGCAATGAAAAAAGTGACCGAAGTACTACGCGAGCAAAAACAAGACACGGCACGCTGGTAAAAGTAGACCTTCAACATGCTCAAACCAGTAAAGTGGGACACAAATTTTGTGCGAACCGGCACATTCCGAGGGCACATCAAAATTTCGGCCAAAAACCCAACCGCTGATGCAACCCTCAACAGCTACTGTAAGAACCGCTTAGTGTGGACGCGCTATTTTTGGAAAAGTTTCCCACCAGCCCAGGCACCCCACCTCTGAGCCAAGGGTTTCAACAAAAAATCCTGTTCCAAATTAAATCCATGCTAATGTTGTTGTGTGAAATATGCGTCAATTGCAATGCAGCACGATTTGTTTGTCCTTTTTTTTTCTCTTTGAATGGCATAGCCGCTGACGGCCCTGTGGGCGGGTGTTGTTTGGGTTGGAACTGCGGTGTTAGCGTCAAAAAGCAAGAAACATGCACACGGCATCTCAACAGCGCAATACAACCGCAAATCAAACAAGCGCTTCGGGGATTCCCGCGGTCTTTCTTCAAATCTGGCGATTGCTGTCCAGATCTCTCCTGCAACAGGCAACTGATCTTGACTAACCGTAGCCATGCCAACCATTTCCAACTGCAATTGCGGTTTCTAGCAAATTGTATATGTGTGCAATTATGTACATTGTGTGCGTGCGTGCGTGCGTGCATGTATGTGTGTGTGTGTGCACGTGTGCAAACATGTAGGGATAAGAAAGAATTCTATAGCTATCTGTACATGTGCACATGACCAATGTCAAGAATTTGCCAAGGCTCTGCCAGGAGGACACCAACTTGTGCTTCTGGATACATGCCCTGTCAGCTGAGTTGCTCAAAATGTTCAGACTGCTTTCATGTTTTTTAAATTTTCACAATCCAAGGTTGTGTCAGGACTGCGTTTCTGACTGGGATCCACTATGTCACTATGAGGCAGAAAAACGCAGAGCAGCAGAAGGCGGTTGATAACATCCATCACACACACACTTGCTCAGAACTGTCATTGCAAATTTTGTTGTGGAATACATCTTACGTGCAAAAACAATCCAATTAAACCTGACAGGAATGGGTCGGTGGAAAGACCCGACAGAGAATCAAGCCAAATCGTTCCCACCTTGACAGATTGCGAAAACCGTGCAAAATTGCAAGACGTAAAGACAAGTTGTTTGAAAGCGGCACGGTGGTTCTTGGGTTAGCCACGTCCCATGACTAAAATCTTGCAGGTACGTCGGGATGATCAGTCCCGATATCCTCCCAACATGAGTAGCTTCGTTGGCAGTGGACTCATGAGTGGGCCACTGCCCCCTGCTGCGACATTCAAACTTAAAACGGAGAAACTTCGGAGTGAAAACAGGTAAGACGGCAGTTGGAAGTTTTACATCTATTCAAATGTTCCACACACACGCCCCGCTGCCGCGGTGCTTTTTTCGGAAGATGCATGTCGAATGCAAGCACTGGTTGGTCATCTGGGTGATCAAAATGCCAGAGACAAGTAAACGAATTGAGTTTATTTTACAATGAATGTCGCCTGGTCACGTGGTGGCTTAGTCATCAGCATCCGATACATCCGCAGGGAAATCTTCTGGATTGGCCTGCCTCGCTAGAGTGTTGGCCGTGACGGCCAGGTGGCTGCCAAGCTGAGCCAATTTCGCTCATGTAAATAAATGAATGCTGCTCTCCGAAGGATCAGCAGGCGGAATCTGGAGCAATTCAAGGATTGGGGCATTGAACTCAGGATCCGCCAACAGCATGTTGTACATAATGTGAGCTAGCTGGCTGATTTGCATAGGTACCGATGGGGTGGGATCAGCCACATTCACCGGGAGTTCAAACTGAGAAGTGTCATCCCCAGCGTCATCAGCTGGGATGTCTTCTGCCAGAGTTTCGAAATTGTTCTGGTGAGATTGATGCTCATGCGGCTCAGTCCAATGGAAATGGTAAGGGACCTCATCAATGCCAAAGTATCGTCGCCAATAATTGGCAACGCGTGAAGCTTCACGCCATCCATTAATGGGATATGCCACAATTCCATGGAAGAAAAATTCCGGTGGACGAATCCTTTCAGTTCCTTCTGAGTCAATTTCAGTGACCCAGAGTTGTTGGATCCCGTTCCAACGTCAATCTGTTTGCAGACATGGGTGTGCAACACCCGTTGATTTGGTTGGAAGTCACTTGGGAGAGGATAGTGTGGAAATGAGTTCCACGAGTCTCGACTCATTGGCATGGGGACATGATCAGCTTCAGATGTGTAGCCGTATCCCGGTGTGGCAGCCGCTTTGGAGAAGGTCGATGGCGTGTAGTAGACACCGGAGTCGGCCAGGCATCCATGCGCATGAAGCGCGGGGAAGCCAAATTGGCCATTGACGAATCGCGCCTTGTCATTTTGAGAGCTGAAAAATGAAACATGCAATTGTGAACTTGTGAATCCTGAAAAAAAAACGGCAATTAAGACGTGCAAAACCTAATCAGGAGCAATGGACACTAGAGAAAGTAAGCTCAGCAGTTGACAAAGCAGCCTTTTTATTTTCAAAGCCGAGCGCTCACAGGGTAATTGGGTGGCAGTGCTTTGTGACAGCTCATCCTCATGATATACGGCTGAGTTGGACAAGTGACTGGTACGAGACTGCCGAAGATGCCAATGTCTTGTGCCTGAGCCCAGTTAGGGCGATTCTCTTGTAGAAGACGACTGATGGTGCGAGGATTGCGCAATGCGAAGGTGTCGCCTGTTCGATCACTCCAACGGAGATCCATGATATCAGCGTCTGTGTTGACACCCCATGTGTTGTCAATGTACTGGCTGATGCCGGTAAGTAGGTCGCCAACTGTAGTAGTTTGAAGTTGGCTGGGTTTCAGAAGCCGGGCATATGTGAACATAGCCATTTCTTGAGGATCTCGGAGGTCAGGTAAGTTCGTACAACTAGTGACAGTCATGGCATCCGAGAATTGTTCTTCCATCAGTCGATGGATTTGAGTGATGTCTACACAAATGAGAACCCTGCGAATTCGACTAAGTGCCGGTATGTAATTCCAACACCTTGTTCGAGTGGGATCATGTGGGCGGTCAAGATCAGGATTGCCCCAAATCGGGCGATGGTCATCATTGTCACGCGAGCGGGAGCGGTCACGAGACATGGTACGAGGAAGTGAATGCAGTTAAGCCAGGATTAGATCAGAGAAAAGAGAAATTCAGACATCGATAAAGAAGATGGAAGAACACCAAGCAAAACCGCAAGACATGAGGAAAAAGGAAAAAGTAAGGAAATCACAGACCAAAAAAATCACAGCGATGTTTGCCCAAGCTAAAGCTGTAGACATTTTAGTCTTCTGCTTCCGGTTCAGCACGGGAGTTCAGCTCAGGCATATTTCGTTTCCACGAGCCATCGTGCTTCGCAGACTTCCGGATCTCGCTTCAAGCGAAGTCCGATTGTCTTCCATGTGGGTCTGGCCCGAGTGTCACTCTTGTAGCTGATTAACTCGTGATCTTCATTGTCCGTCCAGGGTCGTAGGTGATGATTGACAGCAGAGCGTGGAGGTACGCCATGGTTCGAGTAGGAGCTGAAGGGCGTTCTCGAGAAGGAGATGGACGTGGTCGTTCCGAGGCAGAGGCGCTCGGATTGGTAACTGCAGCCGATGGGTTGCGAGATGTTGGATTGGTCGGACGCCTGCGATGTTCCGATTGACTCGTCAGCTGTTGGTTCTTCAGTGGGATGGTCTCCAACAGTGGTAACGGCAGGAGCCCTAATCGTGGCTGGATTTGGTGCTGAGACAGTAGCGTGGATTCGCTGCTTCTTTTTGGGATGGGTCTCTGGACGAAGGGTAGGAGGATCATTGTTTCTTGGATTGTCCCTATCCGGATTCGGTGGGACTTCAATTGTGGATTCAATCGGTAAATGTGTCGGATTGGAAAATTCCTGGTGGGTAGAGCGAGAACGGATAGGATTCAAGGGCCGGGCGGTCTCCAGCGGATTGGGTCCTGGTCGGATCGACAAAGGACGGAGGTTTGGTTCCGGATTGATGATCATATGAGACGGAATGCTCCCATGTGACGCCAGGGTTGGAGTAGCAGGAGAAGATGGGATTGGCACAAAGGTATGAAGATGTCGACCAGTGTCGGGGGATGCGGACTTGGAAGCCGTGGGTTCAAAGAATGGTAAAAACCCCGCAATGCGCACGATGGCCCTGGCCAAATGATAATGAATCTCACGGCCGTTTGAAGAGTCCATGATACCCAACCGAGCAGGAAAGTGAGCGAACGAATTTGAGCCAAAGTAACCAAGGCGGAAATGACAACCCCAAACCCGCACAAAAACAAAACCACACGACACAGTAGTGGCGCAAGCAGTTGGGTAGCAGCTCTTTTTCTTCGATCCAAAATTCGATTCGACATGTGGGTGAATTCTTCGCTTGAGATGAATTTGAAGCAGCTGGCATTCCGTATGTGAATGAGATTGTCTCACGGAAACTTGGAACACAGTGATGAACTCTCTCAGCAGCATGGCATCGATTTACTTCACATGGCACATTGAACGGAACTTCTGGTGGAACAAGTGTAGGTTCATAATCCGATCCCCAAAAGAAGCTAAAACCCTTCTGGATCAACTTTCCCAAACTACGAACGTACGGACAGTTCTTCAGCATGTAAACCATACCTTCACCTGCCTTGTCCCCAGTGAACCCAACCGTGTTAGTGGATGCGTTGGCCCCACCACGTTTCAAATTTCAACGGTGAACAGCTCACTGTGGAATATGATTCAACCCATTCAGCCGGTACCCCCTGATTGCAGAAAGCAAAAATCGATGAGAGATCTTCCCCTGCTCCTGAGTCCAAAGCCCACTCCATATCGAAGGAGCGGCCATCATACACTCGCACTGGTGCCAAGAATGTGACTTGCAGCAACAATTGCAACTGCAGCCTTAGTCGCCGTTAAGACCTTGGGTGCTGGTGGCGACGCCTTGGCTTGAGGATGCAGATGCCCCTGAGACTGCTGGACCTTCATGCTTATAGGGGCAATCCGTTCCACGCCTACAAAGACCTTTGGGCCAAAAGATGCAAACACCAAACACCCTTGTCGCCTTGGTTCTGGTTGCCAGATCCTTTGGGGCTGTTCTTGTTGCTCTTGAAGCTACCATTCCCTTTTCCATCGTTTTTGCCCTGTCCGGTTTTATTGTCACCCTTGTCCTGAGGTTTCCCTTGGGAATCCTGACTTCCTCCTTTCCTTTGCTTTCGCCTTTTCCTTTGGACTTGGGTTTTGGATCTTGAGAACCACCGGGAGCCCAATCTTCTTGGGACCCTTCTTGAGACCCTCTTGAATGGAACTGAGGTTCTTTTCCTGTTGTGACTCTGCAATCACCCTTTCAAGTCGAGACCATAAATAATCATAGGTACGTTCGTTGGCATCTGCCGGAGACTCCTTGATTCTTTCAATGACCAACTGAAGCTGTTTGACCCGCTTCAATCTTTCATACAACAATTTGGACATCATGTTTGCATGGGGCCTCTCATGAATCGGCAGTTGTCCTAATATGTAACGAACCTTGTCTCGGAAATGAATGAGCGAAGCCAATTCTGATTCGGGACTTTGAAGTTGGAACAATTCAACCGCAGAAACAACACCACCCAAAGCGGCATCCAAATCGTCCTCTCTCACAACAAGGTTAAGCCATGGGCATACCCTAAGGGTGCGATTCGTGGCTATGCTTTCCGCGATGTAAGCTTGAATACGAGTACCGAAGTGGCCCTTCAAACATGAATCTTTGGTGAACCAACTACAAAGAACCCTGTCAAATCTCGGAAACCCCTCACTTTCATCTCGAAGATGGTTGATTTCGATGGCAGTCCTAGCGCTGAAAGCTTATAACAACCATTGATACAACAAGTTCTCATTGGAGCTATCCATCCATGAGCATGGGCAAGAATGCGCTTCGCCACGCTCTGAACGCACCTGCTGAGTCAGGCAATGCTGGCATCCTCAAACTGGACACATCTTTCCACCTCAAACATTCCTCTACACCTTGGGTGCTTTGGGCGTCATCATCCTCATTCCCATCTTGAACAACGCGTCCCAAAAATGGAGAATGTTGGGGTGGTAATCATCTTGGGGAAGAACCCAAATTCCGAAGTAATGGGGAAGCCAACCTTGGTTGATCTGCAGTGAACGTAATGACTGGCGGTGAATCACCATGAGCCCCAGGAACCAATTCATCTTCGACCTCATAAGTTTCTTGTCCTTCTGTTTCCCAATTCTCAAATGTTTGAACCCTTTGGGTTAAACTGGCAACATGTTCTTGAAGAGCAACAAGTTGTCCCATCATCAAACCAACCCTCATTTGCAAATCCGCGTCATTTTGTCTCAATTGGATTGTTGTGGATTGGGGATTAATGCTTTCAAATTGTTCTCTCAATTGACGAACTTCTTCTTGTAAGGCGCTCTCTCTCTCTCTCTCCCTAAATTCTGCTCTCAACCTTTGGTCCTGATCATGAAGTGCTTGCACGGCATTCACCTGAGTGGACGCTACAGCTTGAGCAGCACTCACCTGAGTAGACGCAACGGTTTGTTGAGTCCTTAGTTCGTTTTCGAGTACAAGTCGTTGAGCCTCAGATTGCATTTGACTCACACGCTCGTCAGCATGATGCTGCGCTCTACCAACATGTTCAGTCGCTTGAGCTACAACTCTCTGTGCTTCAGATTGCAATCGGTTCACCTCAGTCTGAGCTTCTTGCTGGATCCTACTAACCAACCTGCTCGGTAGCCTGGACCGCAGTAGCCCTTTCCCTCATCTGTGAACCCAATACCTCCAAAGCAGCAGCCCTCACAACCTCAGCATTATGTGCCTCGTGATACACCTGTTGCAAATTAAGTTGCTGGTAACTTGCAGAACCTTGGACTCCTGATCCTCTAGGCATGTCTTGTCTTGGCCTGGGAACTGATGTTGACCTTTTGGTAACACGCCTTTGAACGCCTACAGACCTAGCCGACGACAACCTCGAATTTGCCCTTTCCTGGCCACTACGACACCCTGAGCAGCCGTCCCCGACGACAGCGACATGTTGAGAGACGAATCTCCACTACTAGTCCCACTCGTTGTCATTGTGCTGTGCTCTCTGCTTTAATGCCTCCAAGTTTCAAGGAAGCTCGAAGAAAGGCCGAGAGCTCGCGAGGCGTGCACTGACGGTCCACCAGATCCAGGTATTCCGCAACTGTCTTCACGTGCGGCCAGTCTCCCCAACCCCTTTGACACATGTACACCCCGAAAGCACGGTTATTCAACACCTTTTCAATGACTTGCCATCTGTCATCTAGATGCGCAGTCACCGTGTCATGTCTTAGAATGGGTTTGAGATTTGAGACGGTCCGAAGTGGTACAATCTTTCCTTTGGGATGCCACTAGCTGTCAGCCACCTATTCAACAACTTCACCTAGGTGATCAAGAAATTCCTTCTCTCAGCTGATTTTGCCCCGTACAAACCAATATACGAACAAATACCAACCCTATGAGGCTCCGATCTTTTCAACCAATCCCTGATAGCTTCCCCAGCGTTGTAGTCACTCCGATCCAACTGCCTTTGACCAGCCCTTTCTACGTTCAAAGTATTGTGTAATCAATTGACACCCGAACTTCCAACTTGGGAGACACCTGAAGTGGAACCAAAGCAACCGATGGGTCGTCCTTCGTGAGATCCACAATGGGCTGACTCACGCCAAGGGTCATCATCGGTCCCACCTTCGGCTCTGCACCTTGGGAGCACTCTTCGGCCCCACCTTCGGCTCCGGAGGACTACCCAACGCAAGAGGGGATCAACCAAAAGAACGAAGAGGGAGCAACCGGGGGACCCTTGGAACTAGAATAAGCGGACCCAGAAGCCGCTGCCTCTTCAATCACTACCTCTACCTCCTCGTCCGACAGGTCAAGAGCACGGCTAGGAAAATCCGGGAACCCACTATCGTCCGACTGATTTTTTCAATCTCTTCGGGAACAATTGGTGGTACCCCTTTAGATTCCAACCGCTCCTTATTATAATTACCTCCTTTCGAACAGCTCTTTCTGTTTGCGAACCTTCTTGCCTCCCCTACGAGGTTTCCAGTTTGGATCGAACTTATCCCTTGGAGGGTGTTGAATATGATACCCAAACGATCCCTGACCACCCCGCTTTTCCATGTGACCCGCCACGAAGGCTGGTGACACACAGGTTGCAGCAAAGAGACAAATAGGCCTAAGAGCCAAGCACCGAGCAACCAGTGAGCAAACAGCGAATGGAAGGCGAAGCGAAGCGACAATGGCAAACAGCACAGGAGAGCGACTACGGCTGATGACCTAACTTTGTAGGCTTCAACCAACAGCTAACTGCAAGCAGCGTGAGCTCCTTTTGCAGTGGCAGATCTTCAGCCAAACACATCGGTTTGGCTTGGCAAGTTCAACACATGAAAGACGTGCTGGACCAAAAGAAAAAGGAAAGGAAAGGAAATAAAAATGAAATGAAAGCAAGAGACAAGTAAGAGACCAGAGATACGAGAGAAAGAAGTAAGAGACAACTAAGAGACAAGTAAGAGATAAGTGGAAACAGTTGGGCGACAAGTGGGAGGCAAGTGTGAAATCATAAGACCCACAGCACCTAGAGCGTACTAGGTGAAAGCCGGAGACAAGTGGGAGCCAAGTGTAGAATCATGCAGCCCTGGGAAACAATGGGAGACAAGCAGGTAACAGATGTAAAATCATGCGACCCAGCCCACCCACAGTGTTTTGGGATACAGTGGGAAACAAGTGGGAAACAAATGGGATACAAGTGCAAGCGGCCCAGACCACCCACAGCATGCTCGGAGACAAGTGGGAGAGAAGTGTAACACCATGCGGCCCACAGCACCCAAAGGGTTCTAGAAAACAGAGACAAATTTGGAGAGGGCCAGAAACAAATTTTAAATTATACGTCCCACAGGACCCACAGCGGGAGACAAGTGGGAGACAAGTGTAGAATCACGCATGGCACGGACGCGCCAACACACCGACGCCGTGAATTTGCTGGCAAATCCAAGGCTGCGCCGCGCTTTTTCTTAAGAAATGCAGTAAGACATTTTGGCTCAACTACTGTTGCTGCTTCTGTGGTTGACATGATGATGTGAAAACTCTCCATGGACATTCTTCGTCCACGACTCAGAAGTTTGGTACCTATATAACTTAAGAAACTTAAGTACCTTTGATCAACTCTTAGTGCTAAAGCTTACGACGGAGCAGGCCCGGTTGAGCAGTTATCAAGGCATTCCAGTAAACCACATCGCGGGTTTTATGGTACAAAAATGTCAGGAGAAAAAAGTGTCTGTTGCATTCTCTTGCAGCAAAGCCACTTGCAACGGCAGGAACAATTCTTCCACGGTCGATCGCTTTCTCTTCAAACTTTCCGGCTGCACACTTGCCAACCTTTGATGCAGATCCAAGCTCACTTCCTCGAGCATGTCCAAGAGCGTCTTGCGGCTCTTGTTGCTCAAGAGGTTTGATATGTCTATGGCGATTTGCCGGGCCTCTGGTCCAGGCTGCATTTGATGGATTTGCTTGCATGTGCGTTCAATTGCCCTTCCAGTCAAGTCAGCAAGCCTTACGGGCTCTGGAAGGTAAGAACCTCCGACATCACAGCACTTCAGTATCACGTCCTTTGTGCTCTCAAGACAGAAGCCGTTGCCGATTGACACGTAGATGCGCTTGGAACTGGTGTCCTTGGCAGGGTGCGCAGTACGAAGCGCCAGACCGTAAACAAATCCAGAAGAACCAACCAAAGGAATATTGTCCCCAAAGTTGCACAGCATGTGTTGCTCCACCTGCTCACCTGCTGCCTTGTCAAAGTCGTCAAAACAAAGGAGCTTCTTGGCAACTCCGATCGTCCTCAAACCGTTGGAAATTCCGAAGTGGGAAGCTGAACCACATTGCCTTGGATGGAATACGCCAGATCCATCCACCAAGAAAACGTCAGGCTCTAGCTCTGGGGCACTTTTCCGCAAACGCTGAAGAAGCAGTTCATAGGCAAATACTTCACGAACGAACAAGAATCCAGAAATATACGGAAGGTCCATGTCCACATCTACAGCATCCTCATAGATTTCAGTCATGGCAGAAGCGGTTCCCTCATTCTCATCATTTACCTGGTTCACCGTCAGCTCGCAGACCACTAAGACTGCAGTCGCCCTGTTTGTACCTGTCGTACCTGTCTCGAAGCTGATGTCCAGGCCGCCAACCCGGCGAAGGACATTCAAAGACCAGCCAGGGTCATCAACATCCTGCAACTGCGCACGCAAATTATGCTGCAACGAGGTCCAGTGCTGAATAGAAGGAATGTTCGAAGGACTGTCAGAGACTTTGCAGATTGGCAATTCGAGAGATAGAAGGTAGGCCAAATCCATCAGGCAAGAACGTCAACGCTCGCGGTGGCTTTGACCCTATACTAACCCAGGCGACGCCAGGCGATACGAAAGCCTTACAAAGTCGGTGAACAATTTTTTGGGAGTTACTGAGTTGTCATGTCGGGACAGGTCCCAAATCTCCCTTCCGTCCAGCTGGTCAGTCCATGTCAATCCGCTCTCCTATTTTCCTCCTGCGCATCTGGGGAACACAACACCAACTGTTCGATTGGTCCAGCTACATGTGTTCAGAGATCTGGCTCTAACCCGCAGCAATCGTTCATACCATCGTCCAGGGCTAGGAGCAGAAAAGTGCTCAACCGGCTCACCTCAAGGACTTACAGTAGTTCAAATTGCTTTCTGCCAAATAAGTTGTGAAAAGAAACATGAAACAACCAGCTTACTTGTCAAACATTGGGCGGTTTTGATTTCGTGACCTGTTCCTGGACTGCCTTCAAGGGGCATCAAGGGCAATGGCTTGGGCTACTTCACAAAGTATGGCAAAACATGCCCAGCCACTGCCCACATGATAGATCCACGGTGCTCACAGCATCGCTGAAATTGCCCATGCTGCCGGCGACACAGATGAAGACAAAGCCAGCTATTCTTGTCTTTTTGTTGTGTTTGTTTTGTATCTGATTTGAGCACCTTGAGCACCAGCGGTTGCAAGCCGAGCACCTGCCGCATTATATACAGGGCATTGTAAGATCTACACACTGAATTCATATGAAGCGCTGAAGGCATGCGGTCATTGTACAAATCTGTACATCCGCGGTGACCTGAGAATGAAATCCAGCCATCGGACACCACTAGGCTTCATGCTGGGCGGCAAATGCACTCCCAGGAGAAAACTCATCCCATGGACTCTGCGTGAGACTTGTTTTTTCAAATCATTACACAACGTGAAACAAGACGAAATGACATGTTTCTGGATTCAATGATGCATTCTGATTCTCTGGAATCCGCAAATTTGTCGTCCCAAACACGGCCTCGGAATTGGCTCCAGCTTCATGGGGCACCTTGAGCCCTCTGATTTTTGATTTGCAGTCTGTACACCAGGTTCTCTGCTCACATTCGGCCGGCTGCAGCCTTAGCGCTGATGGCGTGAATTGTCGTTCTTCCAATCTCAAGAATGTCACAAGCGTATAGGATATTGATGTACAATCATGTGGGCATATAGGGCTGGCAACCGAGGTTCCAAATATGCTTGTGATGTGGCATCGCAGCTACCCAAGGCTGACATCTTGGTTGAACTCTTTAAAATCCTGTGGCGAATGGCAACTCAACGAGACCAAACTTGCAGAACTGGTCAAACAAACTAAACACAACTTCCATTAGGCCTTCTGCAACGCATTCATGATGTGCATACCATGTTGGTGCGACCTTGCTCATCAAACTGCAATCTCAAGACAAGTCTGACGATTGCATCGTGACTCTTTGGGCAGCACCACTTGGCATGTTCACTTGCAAAGCTGTGCGCAGGGACATACAAACGCACATCCATCATGCATCTGTATGTGCAAATGAGAACGTACGCATATAGGGTGCATGCATAGATACATGTTGCAAATGCGTGCCCAAAAATTGAATGCAGGTGGGATATGCATGTCCCAATGCACTATTTCGACTATTTCCGCGGTTGCACCCATGGAATCACCAGAAACCCAACGAATCTATCCTATGCTAAGGCTGACTGATTTGAGAAAGGAATAAACGTTTGAAAATAAATGAACGACTGAACGAACATATGAGCCAGCAAGCAAGCAGCTTACTCTTGCACGAAAAACTGCCCATGCACTGCAAACATATGTTGACAACTGTTGACATATCAATGCATGAGCTCATGCATGCATGCCTTTAAGCAGGTACCAGCGTGTACATTGTAGAAGTCCTCGCGTGTTTGTGTGCTCGTGTTTGTGGATGCTCCTGTATCTGCACGTGTGCGCAATGTATCTGCACCTCTGCGTACCTATGTCTACGTCCACGGATGTAGGTGTATGCATGGATAAGTGAAGGTGTCTGTAGGTGTAAAGGCACGACAGATCCGCGCATGTGCGTCGTATGTACTTGCCCGCGCACTTACATACAAGTACGGGTGGTAACTTACGCCACAATCTATAATCTTACCCCACCGCATGGCACACAGCTTACCCCAGAACCTGAATAACTTGTGCCGTAGCCAAATCACCACGGCACACCGACACCTATCCATGTATGTGCACATTGTTTGCCTGAAGTTCCTATGCGGACTGCAACGCTTTGTACCGTTCTTTATCTGCCTTAAACCTGATACAAAGCGTTGTAAACCGCATGGCACACCATCAACTTGACCTCTAGACGACCAGGATCTCTACATGCCATTCTCATTGGCGGACTCTCATTCCTACCCTGGGAAAAATATACCCACAACTCTTTTCCCAGTGGCACACCAGGAACATTCCAGCACTGAACAACACAGAACAATGGCATTGAGATATTCAAGGTGCCGCTTGACAGCGTGATTTTTAGGAGATCCTTACGAGGTCTTTACGAGATCTGTGCGAGATCTGGATTTTGCAAGGCAAGTCAGCAGGGCAAGGCAGCAGGGCAAGGCACAGGGATCTTTTCTACTCTTCCCTTCTCTGCTCTACGCCTCTCTAATCACTTCTACTAAGATTCTACTATTAAATCCGATTCTCTTCTTTACTCTTCTGTATATAGTCTCTTCTACTCTACTCTTCTCTTCTACTGTTCTCTCTTCTGTGCGAGTCAAGCTATGAAGCCATCCCCATGAGTTTCTATCTCAAAAAAAATATGTCTCAAAAGCATGTGTGCCCCTGCAAAGTGTTGGAAAACCAATTCCACAAACAATTGATTCATCCAGCAAGAATGACATGTATATCATGGACTTCCCAACGGCACACCGCCCGCGGCACAAGAAGATGACCGTGGCATAAGTTACCACTTTGACCCAGTACAATCGCGTGGACGTGTGGATGTGTGTGTGTGCTTGTGTGTTTGTGTGTTTGTATGTCTACGCCCGTGTGTGCGTGGATGAGCGTGTCTGTGTATTTTAAAATGCACACACTTGAAAGACCGAATGTCGTATGGAGTCTTGATTGGTCCATCGAGCAAATTTGTCTTTCTTGTCAATTCTATGACATCTGGAAATGAAATCCCAGAAAGGCCTTGCGCCGCGTGACTGAGTCACTGATCCAAAAAACTTTATTGTAAAATGACATATACAATTCATGTTTTGGGCTTCTCGGCTTAGCCCCTTGCCATACCGACAGATCAAAGCCAAAAAAGAAAAAATGGCAGGTACGTCATTGGACGTCTCCAGCGATATCAGTGTCTCATGCAAGCCTCTTCGTTGGGCTGGTACTTGCATGGACAACCAGCCCCCCTCCTGCTATGAAACACGTTCAGAAGGTATCAACTACTTCAAACAACTCTTAGAAACAGGGTGTGACCCCACACAAGAAGGCCGTTTTGCTTACTGGAAGTCATGTGTTCCGAACAAAGTGAGCTCAGCAAACAGGTCATTAGGGTAGGAGGCGAAGCTCAGCGTTTTGGGAAGGCTCAAGGAGACCTCAAGACCCCAGACGGTAGGTGCCGGCTGTTTAATGCTATGGTTTCCCAAAAGCCTCGTCACCTATGGTACAGTCCTGAATGTGGCCCATGGTGGCAATGGAGTGACATGAACATGGGGAAATCCATAGCTTCCTGTGAAGCTATCTTGCCAAAAGACGAGATCAACTCTGGCAAATTGCATTGGGCATTGTGTTGTTTCGCCATCAACAGAAGATCCATGCTCACTTTGACATGGAACAGCCTAGAGGGTCAGCCTTGTGGAAGACGCCTGGAATGTCTGAGATCCGAGAAAGTACTCGTTGGAATGAATTCGACATGTGTCGCATAGGTGACTTAAAGGACCCTCAGACTCAGATACCCATCAGAAAGCGCATGATGGTATGCTCAACTTCCGTCGATCTGCATGTAGCTCTTCATGGAAAGTTGTGCTCAGGTGAACATCATCACCGCCCGACTGCAAGCAATACCAAGGTGGATGGTCAAAGCATCAAGCTGTCTCAGCGGACAGAATTGTATCCTCAAAAGTTTGCAAGACAAGTAGCCAAGATCCTGATCCATGACTCACCATGTTCTCAACACTCCTAACAAGAAACGCCAGCTCGGGGAAAAGATGAGTCCTCAAGCCATCGAACCACGCTTTGGACAGAATGCAGGCGTCGATTGGCAGATCGCCATGCAGCTGGCTGACAAATCAACCCAACAATTGTGTCCCCATCATAAAATTCATCATATTGTTTTGTGTCGAGGCACTGACCGATATGTTGGACCCAACAAAAGCATGTTGCCAGGAGTAGCCCCAGTGCGTCGTCAAATTTGCATCCGAAGGCATTCCACGGAATTCATGCTGATGATTGGGAAACCTGGGAAAACCTGTCACATCGAAAGCTTCGAAGACCCGCAGTGCCAGCAAGGGTAAGCATGACCAGCAACCACGCCGCCGAGTGCAGTTCCGAATGGGCCAAATGATGCTCAGGATGTTCTGCCGATTCCTGTAATCCCGGATGCCGCTGGCCTCATGAAAGCCTGGATCATTCCCAAAGTGATGAATCCATGTGTAAGCGTACCCGGGTATCTATGATAGAAACCTCTCAATCTAACACCAGGCCCACTGAAGTACCATCATCCATAACTGATCCACTCAATACCAATCACGATACCGGGTCCAATAACATCACACCCGACGGTCAAGACATCAGCCAATCCGAAGGTTCCCCAGCTCCACAACAAGTGATTGACCTCGCCAGCCAGAAACATGGACCTCTATTCATGCAGCTATCAAAAGAAGAACAAGCTTGGTTGCTGAAACTGCATAGGAATTTGGGCCACCCAGGGAGTGCCAAGCTGCTGGAGTTTTTGCAAACAACTGCAATGTCCAGACCATATGCAGAAAGCCATTGGTGACATCCGTTGCTCAACATGTCAGGAGTTGAAAGGGCCCGCAATTGCTCGACCTAGTGCAATCCACGAACCAAGTGATTTTGGGGAAGTAGTGTCGATGGATGGGGTAGTGTGGACTAACTCTTTCGGGGACGAGTTTTTCTTCTACCACTTCCTTGATCAAAGCACAATGTTCCAAACAGCCATGGTCACACCGTCACATAACACTGAGCAAGCGCGCCGAGCATTCCTGATGGGTTGGTTTTACTGGGCAGGGCCGCCCGGCCTGTTATGCGTTGATGCCGGAACAGAACTAAATTCAGAAGAATGTGGCCAGTTTCTTCAGAACATAATGTGAAAAGCCGCACTTGTGCTGCTGAAGCCCACTGGCAAAATGCCAGGACTGAACGCCACGGAGGGATCTTGCAAGTCATGTTGAATAAAATTGATGCTGAACAGCCCATCACAAATTATGACCCATTAGCTTCCGCATTGAGTCATGCTACTGGAACCAAGAATCAATGGAGCCGGCATCGTGGATACAGTTGTTGGTGTTTGGAAAAGGCATCAGAGTTCCGGGGTCAGTGACTTCAGACCCATCAATATCAGCCCATGCAATGGCGATTTCCAATTTGCCTGGAGGTGTCCGATTCCGTCAGGATCTTGCTGTGCGTGAAGCTGCCAGAAAGGCATTTGCTGCAGTGGACAATGACCAGACCATGCGTAGTGCCATAGTACAAAGAAGTAGACCGCATCAGGGTTTCTTTGGGAAAGGTGAATGGGTAATGATGTGGAAGAAGAAAGTGGAATCCGATGGTGATTGGGTGGGTCCTATGCAGGTCATTATCCAGGCAAGTCAAATTGTTTTGGGCCACACGTCAACACAAGCTGTATCGAGTAGCACCCGAGAATGTCCGAACTTTATCAGCCATGGAGGAATTCCGCAATACCCCAGACATGAATAACACTCATCCACAAAGCCCCTCCACCGTGGTCCCTACCAGGGGAGGGGTCCAATTCCATGGTCAAGTACCAAATAACCCCAATACACCAATTAGCCCTGTACCTCAAGATACCCAACCAGAAGAAGGACATGCGGGCAGACGTTCCAATGTACCTGCAGAAACTGGAGCAATCCCCGGTTCCACAGCGACACCACTTCCCGCAGATGTCAGATCACCAGCACACGATCAGCCAGATGGCGAGCCTGAGATTCAATCCATTCCTTCCGACAATCCACACGGACGAGCTGATGAAATCAGCACTCAAAACCAATTAGCCATAGAGACTCCTGTCCCAGTGAAGAAAATGGCTTATATGTGGAAGAAGAGGGCTGTTTCCATCTTCAAGAAAATCAAGCCTATAGGTTTGATATTGATGTAAATCAACGGGATATTGACCACTGGAAAGAAGAAACCAGACCACAGGAGATGGCCTTTCTTGTGTCAGCTGCGAAACGCCAACGAAGTGAAGTAAAGATTTCCAGCTTGAATGCATCCGAAAAGATCTTTTCGATGAAGCTAAAACCAAAGAAATCAATAGTTGGTTAGCCACAGGAACTGTTTCCAAAATTCTCCGGCATCAGGTCTTACAGGAAAATGTGATGAGATGTAGGCAGACTCTCACTTGGAAGGAGGTTGTCAGCGCGAACTCTCCAGAATCTGCGCAATCCTCCAAAAATGCTGCTCATCCGATTCCCAATCGACAGATGCCAAAGGCCCAACTTGTAGTGCTTGGCTTTGAAGATCCTATGGTGGATCAAATTCCCCGTGACAGCCCGATGATGTCAAAACTTTCAAGGGTTCTCATCATGCAACATGCTGCCAGCATGCACTGGGCCATTCACAGTTTTGATATCAAAACGGCATTCTTACGAGGGACTGAAGACAGTAGCAGCGTACTTGGAATGGAACCTCCACCAGACATGAAGGAGAAAATGACATTGAAATCAAAATGTGAAGTTACTCAAAGGTACGTACGGCAGAGTGGGCGTCCCATTTCTTTGGCTCCGAGAGTTGAAACAAAGCCTTGAACAGCTGGGATTTTGCTCAGCTCCATTTGACCCATGCACTTTTGTCTTGAGGGACAATCAACAAAGGACTGAGGGTCTCATAGGAATACACGTTGATGATGGACTGTGTTGTGGCTCACCGAGATTTCACCAGAACTTTAAAAGAAATACCCGTTTGGAAGCAAAAAGAGCAGGGAGTTTACCTTCACAGGGTTGAAAATCAATCAAAAGGAAGACTACTCAATTTGGGTTAATCAAAAACAATACGTCAAAGGCATTCATCCAATTTTCATTCCAAAAGCACGCAAACTTACACCCAACGAACCGGTGAATGAAACAGAATGCCAAGGACGTCGTGCCTTGGTGGGATCCCTTCAATATGCAGCCACTAACACGCGCCCTGTGTAGTCGTTTGGGATATCTTCAGAGCAAAATCAATAAAGCCAAAATTTCCACATTTTTTGAAGCCAACAAAATTTTACATGAAGCCGAAGTCAGCAGCAATGTAACCCTGCGGTTTGTAGCAGTCTCAGACGCGTCATTTGCGCCCGAAAAGACACTGGACTCCCACCAGGGAATGATCATCATGGCCAGTCACAAAGACATTGGCGAAAACAAGGATAGTCCAGTAAACCCAATAGTGTGGCACTCGTAGAAAATTCAGAAAGCTGTGGTGAGTATATTGCCGGCAGAGGCTTGCAGGAGCGGTAGACATCCTGTCATGGACTCGCCTCTATTGGGCATGGCCGAGGGATGGAAATTTCAAATCGCAGATGGCAGATGACCAGCTGCTCAAGTTGCCGCCGGCATTTGCAGCCATTCCACCAACAGAAGATGACAAGTCCTCAACACCACCATTACCAGTTCAAGATCTCATTAAAACTACCAATAACAAATCTCAATCTATAATAACCCCTGACTGTAAATCCCCCTTTGGCTTGGTTAGCCATCATGCTCCTCCCCGTTGTCAAGAGTTCAGGACCTTGTTGCAGGCCAAACTAATCAAAGAGCACATCAACAATGGAATCCAGATCTGGTGGGTTCCCTCATAAGCCCAATTGGCAGATGCCTTGACGAAAATCATGGATCCCAGCATCCTGCGTGAATGCCTAGCGCTCGGCCGTTACAGTCCCCATGACGAGAGCGCGATCCGACTCCCGTCTTCAGGTTCCAAAGGGGATCAAGCATCAAAGTGAAAGAAAAGCCAAGCCGTCTTACCATTTTGCGTTTTGCTTGAATAATACAAAGCGGGGTACAGCGAACCCGGATTCCACTTCCAACCACTGCATCTCATTGCATCTCGAACAATTTACAGAAGAGAGGGAATCACGAAATGCTGCCTGTTCGAGATGTATCCGATTGCAACCCAGGATCTCCCATGTGTTCACCGCAGCCCAAGGGGGAAAGGCTCAGGTGTGCCTGTTGGCGGGTGGGATCATTCGCTTGCAGCCATTGGAGAAAGGTTGCGGCCGGACTTGGTGCAGGGCGCCTAGGTATAACACTTGGTTGGGTCATCCATTACATTGTCAGGGACATTAACACCATTTGCTTGTTGGGGACAAGAACACCATTCTATAGGAGACAGGGATCTCCCCATTGATTTGGCAACTCCCTACCATATCCTTTGTGAGTATGCACATATGTATGTAGGTGTGTAGGTATGTAGGAATGTAGGTATGTAGGTGTATGGGTATGCAGGTATAATGGTACGTAGGTATGTAGGTAGGTGTGTAGCTATGTAGGTATATAGGTATGTAGGTATGTGGGTATGTAACTATGTAGGTATGTAATGGCATGCAGGTATATGGGAATGTAGGTAGGTAGGTATGTAGGTAAGTATGTAGGTATGTATGTATGTATGTACGTATGTAGGTATAGGGTGGGTATATGGGTACGTAACATCTATCTGTCTCTGTCTGTCTGTCCGTCTGTCGGTACCAAACGATTCAGATTCGAATCAGACCACTGCCTGATGCCCAGCTGGCGGGTAGGTGGGCAAAGTAGTTTGGTTGGTTGGTGAGTGAGTTTGCAGGTGGGTAGGTGTGCATGTACTGTGCGTCCATGTGTAGAATACGCATGCTGTTTGTCGTCTGTGTGCTTAATGAAGTGGGCATGGATACTTGCATTGCACCGACTGGTATGGGACCGGGGCACGGGACCGGGCGGCATCATGTTGTGCTGCCGTGCAATATCTCTAAATACATCATGGTATTGTATTGTCGAATTGATTTATAGTCTTTCGGTTCACCGATGCTTAACGTTGCAGAGTCACTTGTGTCATATCATGTTGCGTCATATAGCAGCGTTGGGTGGTGCCCTATTGCACACACATATGCAGGCTATGCATAGGCTGGTTTAGTAGGCTGCCGCACTCCCCTCTTTTTCGGTCAAGCATACACAGGTGTATACTGCTTTCTGTTGTAAGAAAGCACCTGAAGTGAAAACCCGTCCCTTTGGACAAGATAGGTCCTATGACCTCGATTGGACCCACTGGTCTTAGAAGCCATCGCACGCAAGGCACGTGCTGGCGCAGGGCAGCATGCCCAATTTCACTTAGGCTCTGTAGCCTGCCGTTCCCAACCCCAGCGTGAAACGCACGGGGAAGGGTGGGAGGGAGCCAAACGCTAAGGCGTGGTCAACCTCAAAACAGCCTAACCTTCGACAAATTTCGAATGACTAGGCTGGTTTAGTAGGCTGCCGCACTCCCCTCTTTTTCGGTCAAGCATACACAGGTGTATACTGCTTTCTGTTGTAAGAAAGCACCTGAAGTGAAAACCCGTCCCTTTGGACAAGATAGGTCCTATGACCTCGATTGGACCCACTGGTCTTAGAAGCCATCGCACGCAAGGCACGTGCTTGCCCAATTTCACTTAGGCTCTGTAGCCTGCCGTTCCACGGCCCCAAACATGCCTCCAAGGAGGCGTTAAGGAAGCAAATGGGGGGGGAGACCACAAGAGTAGGTGGTGAGGAGGGCCTTTGACTTGGCGGTGAACCGGACCTGAGACATTTCAGCCAGGCCGGCCTCGATGTAGAGGCGGGCCACACTCAGTGCCCGCCATCTGCCACGGAGAAGTATGCTCTCCAGCGATTGCTGCACTTGATAACTGTGGGTAGCACCTCCTCTCCTGATGGAGTAAGGTTGAAACCCCAGGGGAGTAAGCTGAAGTGCTTCTAACCCTTGATAAAAAAGGCGCCTGAAACGGGCAGCACCATAAGGCCAAATGGGTGACCTCGGTTCCAGTCGCCGCTCGAGGTGGCATAGCTCCCAGAGCTGGTGTAAAGCACGGTCATTGATGGCCACGGCCTCATCGACATTGAAACGGAGCCCTGTCTTGCTCCCTTTGATGGACACCACGCCATGGTCTGGAGTCAGTAATACGTCTTGCACCTGCAGTTTTAGCATTTCCCCGGTGCGGAGGTATGTATGAAACCCCAGCGCCACGAGGAACGCCAGCGCTGCCTCCTCCCACTCCAGGAAAAGGCCAACAAGCGCACGGCATACCACCCGAGGCAGCGGCGGGGCGCGCTGGGGGATTTCAATTTTTCTCCAATTTTTATACAGCCGCCACGCTCCGCGGAGGTGTCCCTTCACCTGCGGCCAGAAGAAGTGGATGCCGCACAGCGCATCCCCAATTAAGCCTAAAGGGGTTCCGCTGACCCATGCTGCTTCAATCCACTCTTCGCAAAGTGGGTCCAGCTCTTCCATAGAGTCTGCAGCCTCGAGGGCCGGCAAAAGCGAACTGATGGCACTGGAGTAACGCCTTTCAGTTTTGACGCTGATGCCTACGGCCCGCAGCGAGAGGCCCCGTCGCGCGGCTTGCCTTTCAGCCAGCGACTTCCCCTTTTTTATGGGGGGCCTCCCTGCTAGCGGCATCGGTGGGGTTCTCGGCTGAGTCTACATGACCCTGCAACTGGTGGGAGTTCAGAGCCAAAAGGTAGGCCGCGATCTCCCGGGTTATTGGCTGAAGCAGCTTGCTGGAAGTCCTACCTTTGCTAAGCACATAGTTACAAACCATGCTATCTGACAAGTGCAACCATCTTGAAGACAAATTAGACGTCGATCGGGCTCTCCAACGAATGCTCTGCAGAATCATCTTCATTTCCAGGTAGTTTATGTGATTGGGGTATTTCCACCTGGTAGTAAAAAGAATCCGCCACACCCACCAATCAGCGCGGAGAGACAGGTGGTTTGAAGATTTATTGGAGTAAGGGGTCCCCAAAGTGAGAGAAACATCCGCCCCCGTATGGTTCACGTGCCTGGACAGCTGTGCCGTCAGCTCCTCCAACCCAACCTCATGGGTGGGATGCGGCCCATAGGAAAGTTGACGCCGCAAAGGCACGGCGACATCCGCTCGCAAAGAGCAGCCAGGCGCCAGCCCAAAGCGTTGAACAAGCTCTGTAGGTGTCCGCGGTCGAACCCATTGTACGCACAGCTGGCTGATAACCCAGCCAAAGGAGAGCATGGAGAAGGAGTCTCCACACATTGACAGCTCCACATCCTCCAACTCCTGCTCATGCCCTTTTGCCTGACTGGCGGACATGGCAAAACGAGTGTGGCCGAAACCAAAACCCAGTAGTAGGCACCGCTCTTCAGCATTGCAGTATCTCAGCTGTCCTTCCTCGTCCTCCAGCATGTTGTCCAATTTGTATTGATATGGAGGGAAGCGGAACAGGTCACTGGTCCACCGTTCGATGGTGGTGCTATCGCACCGGGCCAAACCAGCAGGCCGTTCAGGCGGCCTCCGGCGCGGTATGGCCTTCATGAAGGTCGGCAGTTTGCCTTCCTGTTCGAAACGAGCCCAACCAGGCGTGATCCACTGCTCGTCAGAGAGTCCCACTCCCGTCATCCAGACTCGGATGAAGCCGACCTGACGCTCAAAGCGGATCCCGGGCCCCTCTTTCAATTGTATGCTCACCCAGGCCAAGCGGGGCCGGTTGTAGGGTAATAGGTCCGAGGGGCAGAGCGCATACGGCTCAACGCCCAACACCTGCGAGATTTCTCGGCGTGCTGATGTGTCCATGGACAGGACGTTCTCGATGACAAAGTCCACCTGTGCTGTAGCTCCAAATACCTCCCGGAGCCAGCCTAACAGGGCTACCAGATTCCAGAACAGCTTTGATCCTTCGCCCTGTAGATTTTCCCGTCCAGCTCGGACAGCCGAAAGGTGCACGCATGGGAACCCTCCAACCAGGTGTACATGAGTTATCCGGGGAAACTGGTTACTCCAGGCCCGGACCGTGCTTTTAGTCACGTTGTTGATGTCCCCAATTTCAATGACGCGGGGCCATGCTTTCCGGGTCACCCGCTGGGCCGACTTGCTCCACTCAATAGCAATGAGCCCCCGCGGTTTAAGACCGGCCAAGTCATAGCCACGGAACGCACCGCCAATGCCGTTGAAGGCGGAGACAACCAACAGTTCCACTTCTTGGGCTTCGAGGGTGCGATCCTGCAGCACCCTGGTCAGTTGCCCGCCAGCGCTTGTCAGCGACACGGCGGAACCAACTGCCCCGCCGAAGTGGGAAGCGTCAGAGCACGTGACCACCGGTGAATAGCCGGCCCTGAGGTCGGTTTGCAGGAGTGGTACCAAGCAAACCAGTAGGCCCAATTCCTGTTTGACTATGGGCCACCATCGCCTCCTGTCTTGGCCCTTGCGCCCGTAGTTCCAGCTTTGGCTGAGGATCGCCATGGCGGGCCGCCTGAACTGGAGAGCAAACACCCAACGGCCAAGGACAATCTGCACCCACTTAACTTTCGGCAGCCTTTCTCCCAGCAGCATGAGGGTAGCCACCAGCAAACGGTGGAGGCGCTGTGGCCCTGCTCCGACCAATCCTTGCTCACCATTCAAGTGGACTCCTAATTCAGTGGCATCCTGAGCGCTCAAAACGTGCTTGTCTTCGGCACAGAGCACCCCTTCTTGCGTCCAAGCTGCGACTGCGTCACGGTGAAGTTCACCAGATGCAGAATCCGGCAGCCCCTTCAGGCTGACTTCGCCCGCCATGAAATTATCCAGGTATACCTGCCAGAATAGGCGGGGCCCTGCCCGGGCCACTGTGTCCACAAACCACCTGGGGGCCAGCGCCTGGCGCTTGAGTTCATCGGCCCCCCAGGTATGGCAACGTTGGACTAACTGCCTTGATGCCATCTGCATCAAGCCTACGGATGAGCTCCACCCCATCGGTAACACTTTGCAGGCGGGCACGTACACCTTGCCTGCGTCACGCCCCAGCGCGGACCCGCGCGTCGGGGCGTTAAACGCCATGAACCGCCTCCATTGTGAAGGCAGGCTGAACAAGTAGAAAGCACTGCTCATGTCAGCCTGGCTAATGTGGATAGTTTCATTTTCATCCAACATCAGCTGGTTCCATGTTGTCGCCATCGGCAGTTCTCCAATGTCTCCTTTGACAATGTCCAGGGCCCTATTAATGGGCTTCAAGTTCATGATAACCCGCAGGAGGGGTTCCCCGCACGGCGTGAACTTGCCAGCTTTGGGAACCCCAAACATCCCTGCCAGGTATGGACCACCTTCGTCCGCATAGACCTCCTCCAAGTCGATCCATTCGATGATGCCCCGCTCTTCCAGCAGCTGCCAGACCTTCATCGCCTCGCCCAGCGCGATATGCACACGGGCGGCGTTCGGTCCATCTTCTTTCAACTCCGGGTCCAGCAACAGCTCCTCCGGGCGCTGGATCAGGTACTCCGCACGGCCTACCAAAAGAGGAGCGAGTTCAACCGACCCCCCATGACCCATTGGAGGCAAGCTGGCATAGATCTGCTCGTGAGTTATTGCCACTGGCTCCACGAATTCCTCCCCGTCATAGGAGATCCTTTTACTTAGAACATCCAGCCAAACTTCACGGGGGTCCAACACAACAGGGGTAAACAACGCAAGGAACCGACCAACCCTATCTTCCAAAACCTTCAACACCTCAGTAACTTGCCGTCCCGTCCGCTGGCGCGGCGGCTTCTTTTTGCAGCCGGATAGAACATTCAGTCCATGGCACACTAGCGTCAGCCAGGCGCCCACAGAGTTGTCACAGGCTTCTCCTGTCAACCCTTCCAGACTAAAGTCTACCGGCAACGGGAACAGCGCAGGAGCTCGCCCAAAAGCATCTTGAGATGCGGTATGCTTGACCTCATGAAACAGAAGTTCCATTCCCCTTGGCAAGCTCCCTTGTCTGACTCCCATTGCCAGGGCGCGGCCTAGAATGCGGGGGCATTCAAAATCTGCCCATTCCGCATTGGGAAAAGTGCGCGCGGTGCGACCTGTTGCGGCCACACCAGCGCAAAGGTCCCTAGTTGGTGGGACTTCGGCGTAGCTCTCGACGTACGGGTCGAGCGTTACGCCGCCATCGAATTCTGAGCACTCACCCGGCCCACCTCGACCGACGGCGGGGGCCAGGCGCGCTCCCAGCATCTCCTGTAGCAGTCCATCTGGCCAGGCCTCCGGTGCCGAAGGATCAGCGCACGATGCGCACGACCCCTCACCCGGAACTTCCGCCACCGACGGCGCGACATGCGTCTCGCCAGCGGCGGAGGCCCCGCCAGGACCGCTCATTTGCCTCCGCTCGGAGCAGCTGCTGCTGCCCCTTCTCCATCCTTCGGCCCTTCTTTTCCTCCGCCTTTTGCCCGGGGCGATCTCCAGGCTCCCTTGCCTTTCCGGCCTCCTTTGCCCCGACCGGCTCCGTCTCCTTTCCCTTTGGCCCCTCCTTTCTCGTCCATCTTGGGGCCAGGGCTTTCGCGCGGGGTCCAAGATCCTCCCCAGCGAGCCCAGCCTCTTTGCCCTGTTGCTTTTTCGATGGTCCTGGTGTGCTTCTGGGCTCTCAGCATGATTGCCGGGGGCGCCAATCCTGCATGCCGAACCGGAATGACTTCCAGATGTTGGGCATCTTGCCAGTTGTTCGTCAAACCGGCTGACTCCACCGCAAGGAACCTCCCTGCTAGAGCATCGCCCAGTTCGGGCAGAGCGCCACGGGCCAGCAGGTCGATGCAACAGCCCAGCGTCTCTAGCTCCCGCAGGTCCCGGACCTTCCCGGGTAGTTGCGGTTTGGCCACAATCTGGAAGTAAGCCATCATTTTGCCGGACCGGTCCAGCAGGGGATTCACCTCGTCTCCGCGCACGGCGGCATCCGCCAGCGCCTCTCCCACCGACGACAGCAGCAGCCTCAGGACTGAGCCCGGATTCTTGGCTGCCTTCTTCTGAAGAGGTGGCAGTAAGCTGGAGCTGGTGGAGCTTCCTTCGGATGATCCGCTTCGGGAGTCGCGGCTGTCTCGTCGCCGGCGTCCTCTCTTCTTTTTCTTCTTCTTCTTCCGCGATGGGCTCCTCGAGTCCCTCCTGCGGCGATGAGGAGACCGAGATCGGGTCCTCCTCTGATTCCGCTGCGCCACGGCATCTGCCAGCGCTGCTTTCATGGAAGGCTCCCGTGCCCTCCGCCTGTCTTCCTTGACGGGTTCGGGCTCTCTTTCGTCCCCGCCGTTTTCGAGGGCTGCCACACGCCGATGAGAGGCTGTCGCAACCGCTTGCAGAGGACTCAGAAGGTCCCCCTCTTTGGGCTGCCCGGCTTCCTGGCCAGCGCCCGCAGGGGGAGTCCCATGCCTGGCTTGCAGTCGCTTCCTCAGTGCAGCTACTTGATCGAGAGCTCCTCCTTCTTCTCCCCGCTCCGGATCGGCCGCTCGTTTTGCTGGGTCCTCTCGTGTCCTCTCCTCCATGGTGGCGGCGTACAGCTTCCTCCACTCTTTCAACTTGACCCTCTCTACGTACTTCGGGGGATGTGACCCTGGGGGAAAGACTGCAAAGTCTTGGATGTGCCAGAGCTTGGGGTTGGCGTCCTCGCAGGCGACCGGCCCCATGCGGCAAACGTGGACGCGGCGGCGCTCCCGCGAGAACATTTTCACCCCCTCCAGACGGCACCATTGGGCATCGGCCCCAAGCATCTTGACCCCCAGATACAGGCCAGTTTCCGCCCGGTATACGTCGGCCACGTAGACACACACCAGGCCTTTCTGTTCTTCCTCCCCATTGCGCCGCAGCATCGGGAGCTCTAGAACGCTTCCCAGCTCTACCGGGCAGTCTTTCCAGAATTGGGAGTCTCTCAGAGCATCTACCATAATGGCGAGTCCAGGCTCTCCCAAAGCCGGATCTTCTCTTCCGAACCCTTCGGGAGGGCTCGGAGGGAAGAAGCCTTCCGCTTCCGGGCCTCCCTCCCCATTTCCTTCGACGCCCAGTGGCATCTCTAGTGATGGGAGCGGCGACGAGGGCGACTGCCCAAGTCAAGGGGTTCCAACGACTGATTGTGGTGGAACGACTTGTCGGGTTGGTACAAGCCCCGATGCTTCTGTTGGTGTTTCGCTCCTCCTCGGCGATTCCTTTTGTTCTTCTTCTTCTTTTTGTCCTCGTGATGTCGACTCCTGGATCGCTCCCGCTCGTCCCGTTCTGCCGGGTGTGCAGGAGGCCGCGAAGGCGACCGCGGCGCCTCCTTTCCACTACCCGCAGGGGCGGCTACCGGACCAGCGTCGCCCTCGGCACGCACGGCCTGGTCGCGATCTTCCTCACCTGTCTCCTCTTCACTGCTTTCGGACCCGTAGTCAACCCGCTCTTCACCTTCTCGCCGTCTGTCTCGGTCCCGTTCCTTGTCCTCCTCTCGCTTTACCGACGGTGCTCTGTCCCGTGCGTCCGCCTTCGACTTCGCGCTGGCTGACTTCTCCACCTGGTTGGTGATCTCCCCGAGGCGGTCTTTCGCGTTCCTCAGGCGGTCAGTGAGCGAACAGATCTCGCCCCTGACTTGGCGGTCAAGCTTCACCACAGCCTGAGCCTGCCGAGCTGTCTGGCGTACCAGCTCTTCGCACAGAGCCCGGTGTGCCAGCGAGTGGAAGCGATTCTTGGCGCAATCGCTCAGCACCTGCGTGCACGAGCAGAAAGCGCACCAAGAGTCGCCCTCCACTGCGGTTCCGCTGTGACACTTGCGACACAGCAGGTCACCGCTAGGCATCCCGGATCCCCCTATGAGCCAAACGCTAAGGCGTGGTCAACCTCAAAACAGCCTAACCTTCGACAAATTTCGAATGACTTGCTGCATTGCAATGGGTTACAGGTACTGGTGTTGCATAATTGGTGTACATTGTGCTGGACTGCTGCACCATGCTGTGTGGTTTTGTAATTGCGCGTAACTATTACAAATACTGTAGTGTGCTCTATAATTGCTGTATTACAAATACTGTGTGGTTTTGTGTGCTAAGTATTGCATCGTAAGTTTTTGTTGTTGTCTGGCAGGCATTGCATCGTCTCTTGTCGCACACGCTGCACACATTTCATTGGGTTTCATTTCAGTAGGTCAGACTAGGATGAATAGGCATGCAAGTAAACAAAAAGGCCATAAAAGACCAGGCATTTTGGTGCGTAGTCCCTTCACTGTTGTAGCGCATGGTGTTGCAATATGCTGTAATGCTACATCTCTTGCTCTCTTTGACAAACATACGCAGCAGCCGACATGCCCCGCTGAGTGGCTTGAAATCAATCGGCAAAGCGCTCAGGGTTCGATAGATGCGCTCCCTTTCCGTTCCCCGGCTGTACTCCATCAGCCGTTGGACAACATAATTTCCATACCTGGCAGCAAATCAAGCTATGCCGTGAGTTTCAAACCTGTCTTGAATCAGGTTGGCTACGCTGCTCCCGGCATTAGGGCTGTTTGAAGGTTTTGGGCCAATCCATCATGACAAAGTCCGGATGCCTGTGTGTCATCATCTCACACAAAGGGCCTCGGCTGATGACAAATTTTGGATTGCTCCACCCTTTACAGATGCACAGGCGCAGCTATCGCCTACATGGATAAGGCAACGTAGTTAAGGGTCATTTTAGGTGGATGTTGCAAGCCGCACATCTACAAGAGCTCGCAAGACTTGCGAGAGCATGATTTGGCGACGTAGCTTGCAATCTCCCAATGACAGCCAGTGGTCAGATGCAGGATTGTCCATCCCAGTTGTGATCTGCAAAAGAAACATTCCGTGGCTCTCCCACCGCCCTACTGGCGGAGGTCGCAGGGAGGCTCTCCAAGAAACTCAACAAACAAGACGAAGATAGACAAAGTGAAAGCTTGTGCAAGAGCAGGCCAATGATCGGGCGGTGCCCAACCAAGCTGGCACCAGGCTTGGCTTGATGGGACAGGGAAGGATTAGGACAAATCCAAGTTCAGCCGAGTGGCTATTGACATCACCAGGTTGCCCCAACACAGCATCAACCAGCTGAGCGCGCTTTCCCTCAAGTTCTTTAGCATGCTCTCCAATCGTCGAAGCCTCGAAGCACTTCTCAACCTCAAGTCACATGACCACCGCAGCATGCACAGCCAAGCAGATTCAAACCATTCCAAAACGCTTCAGCTATAGCTTATGAATGCGGAAGAGTGTCGACATTGCCTCGGCTAAGCAACTGACAATCATGCTTAATGTGAGGCACATGTTGTTTCTGGCAGTGCCAAAAAGTAGCAAGCTCCACCTATGGATCGCCACGAGGCCCTGAGAGTCTCGCTTGAATGCTTGTCCATGGCAAAATCCAAAATCTTAGCTTTCACCACATCAATGATCCGCTCCTTGTCCTGCACTCGCCCGTGCTCAAGCATGTGCTGCACCTGGACGCAGGGTTCCGAATGTCAAACCTCCAAACTCCTCCCACGTCAAAAAAAAAAATCAAACTCAAACTATGCCACTATGGGAGGTGTAACGAGGGTCAAAGGCCCACAATTGACATTAAACACTAGAAGTGCACCCCGAAAACACCCAATTGCCCAACCAATTGGATCGCTGCAGAAAAAGCAAGGCTAAGGCTAAGGTGGTGTAAGTTAGTGTAAGCTTGTAAGATCGTGTAAATCAAGACAAGGCTCAACATAGTTTCCAAACCTGCGCTGTTCCAAACCCAAAACTCTCAAGTAGAAATAGCGGAATGACATGGGAACACAGGTGCAACCAAGATGTGTTGCGAAAAAGGCAAAATGAGGCATGTCCAGCGACACATGCTTTGTGTGCAGCTTTGTGGCTGATTCTTGGAAAGCACTTCGATGTTGCTTAAAATCCTGTCCAACATCTCCTTCGGCGAGGCTTGGCAGAGCGAAAAAGCTTTGCTGAGCATCAGAGTAAAAAGTCGGTGAAATAGTTTCACTGGCCGGGGGTTCATTTGGACCCCCCCAAAGCCCCTCATTTGGACCCCCCCCATTTTAATTAGGGGGCGAGAGGGAGGCGAGAGGGGGCGAGAGGGGGTGGGTGGGGGCGAGAGGGGGGCGAGAGAGGCCAGAGGGTCAGAGGACATTTTAACATGGGTGGGGGGCGAGAGGGGGCGAGAGTGGGTGGGAGGGGGCGAGAGGGGGGCGAGAGGGGGACAGAGGGTCAGAGGAAATTTTATCATGGGATACGACCCTTTAGGGTGGGGGGGAACATCCATGGAATCAGGAAGAAGAAATTTTATCATGGGATACGACCCTTTAGGGTGGGGGAGGACACTCATGGAATTAGGAAGAAAAAAATTATCATGGGATACGACCCTTTAGGGTGGGGAAGAAACATTCATGGAATCAGGAAGAAGAAATTTTATCATAGGATATGACCCTTTAGGGTGGGGCGAGGAACCTTCATGGAATCAGGAAGAAGAAATTTTATCATGGCATACGACCCTTTAGGGTGGGGGGGGACATTCATGGAATCAGGAAGAGGAAATTTTACCATGGGACACGATCCTTTAGGGTGGGGGAGAGGCGAACATTCATGGAATCAGGAAGAAGAAATTTTACATGGTATACGACCCTTTAGGGTTGGGTGGGGGGGGGGGGACATTCAGGAATCAGGAAGAGGAAACTTTATCATGGGACACGATTCTTTAGGGTGGGGGGGGGGACATTCATGGAATCAGGAAGAGGAAACTTTATCATGGGACACGATCCTTTAGGGTGGGTGGGAGGAACATTCATGGAATCAGGAAGAAGAATTTTTATCATGGGATACGACCCTTTACGGTGGGGGGGGAACATTCATGGAATCAGGAAGAGGATTTTTTTTCATGGGACACGACAGGGGGTGGCTTTAGAGGAAATTTTGTCATGGGATACGACCCTTTAGGGTGGGGGGGGAACATTCATGGAATCAGGAAGAAGATATTTTATCATGGGATACGACCCTTTAGGGTCGGGAGGTGGGGAACATTCATGGAATCAGGAAGAAGAAATTTTATCATGGGATACGACCCTTTAGGGTCGGGAGGGGGGGAACATTCATGGAATCAGGAAGAAGAAATTTTATGGAATCAGGAAGAAGAAATTTTATCATGGGATACGACCGTTTAGGGTCGGGAGGGGGGGAACATTCATGGAATCAGGAAGAAAGTTTTTTAACATGGGATACGACCCTTTAGGGTGGGGGGGGGGCATTCATGGAATCAGGAAGAGGAAACTTTATCATGGGACACGATCCTTTAGGGTGGGTGGGGGGAACATTCATGGAATCAGGAAGAAGAATTTTTATCATGGGATACGACCTTTTTGGGGGGGGGGGGAAGGGAAGGGAAGCGGAAGGGAGGGAACAGTTCATGGGAATTCAGGAAGAGGAAATTTTATCATGGGATACGCCTTCGGGTGGGCAGAAGGAGAGGAGAAGGGGGGAGGGAGAGGGGGGGCGAGTCGAGGGGGAGAGGGGGGGCGGAGGGGGGGGAGGAGAGGGGGGAGGAGAGGGGAGCGGTGGGAGAAAACAGGGGGTTGGAAGGAGGGGGGCGGGAGAGATGGGGGCGGAGCGGGGGGCGAGAGGGGGCGAGGGGGGGCGAGGGGGGCGAGAGGGGGGGTCCAAACGAGTTCCCCTTTTGGTGGGGGGGGGGGGCTTGGGGGGTCCAAACGAGGCGTCGCCCGTTTCACTGAGTGTCATAGAAAATGGAAAGAAATGAAGACAGAGTTGGCCCATTTAATTTCAGCACCATATGCCAGCTGAGGAGCAGTAAGCTGTCCAGATGCGCAGTGTTCAAGCAGCCTTTGGATAACCCGGCAGCCATAGATATGAGAAGCCAGTGCCCTGAGACAAGGTTGGGGCGCGCTGCAAGTTGCTAATGTTGCTAGGGGATACGTTTGCCAAGTCATTACACTCCAGCCGTTTTCCTATGGTTCCGCTTCACACTGAACATACCAAACCAAGTCACGCCGTATCCGCCTGCACCTGCGCAGCTAGATGCTACTAGAACATACAACACTTTGATTTGCAGAGTTCACCATTGTTGTGCTGTATCGTGCCATATCGTGCCATATCGTGCCATATCGTGCCATATCGTGCCGTATCGTGCCGTATCGTGCCTATGATCTAATTATATAGCATGATCAAACAGCTCATTAAATGGACAACGAGACCGCGCATTCTGTCGATCATTCTGCATTTTGTTCCTGACTTTCGGCTGCGGAAGGTCAGCTGAGCTTCAGACTGCATGTATAATGAAGCTGACTGAGTCAGGAGGCATCTGCTCGATGCACTTCTGAACAACATGATTCCCATGCCTCAGAAAATCTCTGAAAATCTCTGAAAATCTTCAATTTACAAGCGCGCAAGGCTTGAAGGGGCAGCCGCTCAGCCAATCCTTCATTAGCAGGTTCCTTTTGTATCCTTTTGTCACTACAAGCACCGTACTTAAGTCACATCAGGCGGGAAAAGTCACATCATCCCCATGTCACAATGGCGATACAGAAAAGTCACATCAGGTAGTGGAAAGTCACATCAGGGAAGAAGAATCACAATGGCGCAGCCAGTTTCATCTCTAATGATACATGCTTAAAAGTGGCCGAAGCATTGCGCACAGCAAGGAAAATGACAAATACTTTGCTGAAAAGGTTCATATTTGTAGAGAATCTTAATGGAATGGTTGCAAGACAGCTGGTACCCATATCATCCCGTCAGATTGAAGCAGGCAAGAAGCAGCAGCAACCAGTGTATGCCCCTTGAATGAATGATTAAATTAAATATAAGTACTAAAAAGCGCCGCAATACAAAAATTGAACTTTTTCCAGGCGCACGGCTCCAAAACAATAAAATAATTCAGTTGCTAAAAGTATCTAAAAGTTGTGATGCCAAAATTGAACTTGTTGCAGGCGCACGGCCTCCAGATGCGACTTTAACGAGCTGATACGACTTAACCCTAGCGCTTGTATCAAGTCATATCAAGTAAGGAGCCAAGTAAGGAGCCGAGGGGCATGTTGGTGATGCATTCCGTGACATTGCTCTGCAACGACGAAGCCAGCATCACTTGCAGGTCTTTGGAGACAGCACCAATTGCCTCGACTCTCAGATCTTGACCAGTGATCTTCACCAAAATTTGATTCTTCAAAAAAAAAAAAGACCTGGGGGGGTTGGGTGTCCCGATTTTGTAGAGCCAAATCTGACTTTTGGCACCCCAGGCCTCTACAGAATGAGGAACCTGCCAGGTTTCTCTACAAAATCCGGGCACCCAACCCCTTTTTTTTGGTGCACTTTTGTGATTTTCAGAAACACTGCCCCTACAAAGTGGGGAACCTGACATGAGCACACATTTAAGCAGAATTGCTACTTGGAAGAAAGAAAACCATCAAAAATACAAAGATCCATTTTGTAGAGGGAAGATGTGAAAGAACCTTGGTCTCCTCGTCTCACCTGAAAACCCTGAAGTGTACAAAAATCTATTGTGTAGAGGCAATTCCTGTCCCACATTTCCAGTTTTTGTAAAATCAATATAATTTGTATATATTTATGCTCATGAATGTTGGCAAACTCCAAAACCTCTACAGGATGAGGAACTTACAGTTTCAGCCATCTACAACATGCATCAAAATGCTTCCACTACAAAATCAGGAACCTGTCCTTGCACACCCTTGCAGGCACTTAGGCTGTCAAAAAAATGGCCTGACGGACCTCTACAGAATGAGGAACCTGCCACAAATCTAGCAAGGGGTTTTCTCTACAAAATCCGGGCGCCCAACCCCCTTTTTTTGGTGCACTGTTGTGATTTTCAGAAACACTGGCCCCTACAAAGTGGGGAACCTGACATGAGCACACATTTAAGCAGAATTGCTACTTGGAAGAAAGAAAACAATCTCAAAAATACAAAGGTCCATTTTGTAGAGGGAAGATGTGAAAGAACCTTGGTCTCCTCGTCTCACCTGAAAACCCTGAAGTGTACAAAAATCTATTGTGTAGAGGCAATTCCTGTCCCACATTTCCAGTTTTTGTAAAATCAATATAATTTGTATATATTTATGCTCATGAATGTTGGCAAACTCCAAAACCTCTACAGGATGAGGAACTTACAGTTTCAGCCATCTACAACATGCATCAAAATGCTTCCACTACAAAATCAGGAACCTGTCCTTGCACACCCTTGCAGGCACTTAGGCTGTCAAAAAAATGGCCTGACGGACCTCTACAGAATGAGGAACCTGCCAGGTTTCTCTACAAAATCCGGGCGCCCAACCCCCTTTTTTTGGTGCACTGTTGTGATTTTCAGAAACACTGGCCCCTACAAAGTGGGGAACCTGACATGAGCACACATTTAAGCAGAATTGCTACTTGGAAGAAAGAAAACAATCTCAAAAATACAAAGGTCCATTTTGTAGAGGGAAGATGTGAAAGAACCTTGGTCTCCTCGTCTCACCTGAAAACCCTGAAGTGTACAAAAATCTATTGTGTAGAGGCAATTCCTGTCCCACATTTCCAGTTTTTGTAAAATCAATATAATTTGATCCCCAAAAAAATGACCTGAGGGGGGTTGGGTGTCCCCATTTTGTAGAGCCAAACCTGACTTTTGGGGCCCCAGACCTCTACAGAATGAGGAACCTGCCACAAATGTAGCAAGGCATCTTCTCTACAAAATCAGGGTACCCAACCCCTTTTTTTTGGTGCACGTTTGTGATTTTCACAACCACTGGCCTCTACAAAATGGGGAATCTGGCATGAGCGCACATGTAAGCAGAATGGCTACTTGGAATAAAGAAAGCCCTCAAACAAGTCGAAAACACATGTTCCACCATTTTTCTCTACAAAATGGGAAACCTGCAAAATCAATATAATGTGTATATTTGAATGTTGACAAACCCCAAAACCCCTACAGAATCAGGAACCTACAGTTTCAGCCAGCTACAAAAGGTCCCCTCTCCAAAATCAGGAACCTGCATTGAGCATATCCTTGCAGGCACTTAGGCTGTCCAAAAAAATGGTTTTGGCGAACCCCCGGGGGTCCTGATAATGGAGTGGGAATTTTGGGGGGTATCAAAAAAAATATTCGGATCTATTCAGCATGTTCTTGATTGTTCTTGCTGTTGCTCTTTTACTCTTCTTGTACTCTGCAATATGCTAAAAGACTTCACCATGTTTCTCTTGTGTGCAGAAAATGCCGTCGTTCCCACGCCTTCTGCACAACTCGACATCCATAATTATCCTTTGAAAGGCTTGCAACTTCCGGTTGAAGTCTCTCAGCCAGCTTCTTCTTTTGCTCTTGAGTTCCTCCGCGGCATTGAAAAACTTAATCAGCCTAGTGACCTAGTGCCCATCCTTCCGAATCATGGCAGCTGAAACTCAGGCGATGGAGCATCTCCAATGGAAAGATGACGGACCTAGAACATTACACAACATAAGATAACATAACATACCATACCATACCATGCCATACCATACCATACATACGTGCGCGGGAGATATGCATTAATACATTGCCGCCCATTCCATACGTTTGCCACAGTCCTATGTCAAAGAGTTTTTGCACCACGAAGTTGCCACTCACATCTTTGGCCAGTGAGACAGCATCTGGGCTGGCATCATCCGCACAAATGACTGCAAAAGCTTCCTGTCCTTGGCAAATCAGGAGTCAGAGGTACATGCAATCAAGCACATGTTTGCGAGCGCAATATGTTTGCATGACAAGTGTCTTTCCTCTGGGCTTGCTTCGTCCAGCTTTCCTTGTAGAAAGCGACTTCCATGCTGATCTTGAGCAAACTCAAGAAGGTGCGGCAGGACCTTAGCACGGGCACGGCTCTCACACCAAAAACTGACCGCCATATGCTGCTCAACAGCAACCTGTTATATAAATCCCTCAACAATCGCATCCATCTTTTTGTTGCCGTGCACTGCAAGTGCACATGGATTAGATTTCCGCACTTTCATCTTTCATGGCACCAGCTGCTAGCTGCCCAACCAGCCCTGCCAACCCTGCCAGCTGCCAGCCCTGCCAGCCCGGCCTCCTGAAAGGAAAGCTTTGCCTTGAGACCGTTGCTCTGCGCGTTGCGTACTGAAAGGAGCTCATCGCTGCAATCGGGATTTGCCTCTGGCGTGGACGGTTCCTTGCTCTTGGCCTTGCCACGGCGCTTCTTTCCCTCTTTGCCTGTTGGAGCGCTTTGCGCGTTTTGTTGGTTTTTTCCCGTTTTTTTGGTTTTCTCCGGTGGTTGGGGCGGGGAAGAGCTTGGCATATGTGGGTAAGCTATTGGAGGGTACATAAACGGCATCATTCCAGTCATCCCATACATCTGCATAGGACCCGGCATGGGAGGACATGGCACGGGATACGGTGCTGCCATTCCAGCTGCTGGTGCCGGTGGGTATGCCATCCCAGCTGCAGCCGGTATGCCATATGCTGGAGGAATCGCCTGCTGAAATGCTGATGCATCCCACTCAGCTTGCTGGAAAGATGGTGGTGGGGGTGGCTGTGGGGCTGCCTTACGATGAGGTGTTCTTCCGCCTCCTCCCCTTCCGCCTCCCTTTTTACCTCGCCCGTCGCTTGGTACAGGAACTTTCATCGGATGCGCATCATTCATGTCGAATGGTTCGAACGGCATCTGTGGAGGGATCCCTGGCAAAGGATTCGCACCTCTGCCGGCACTGGCAGCGTTGGCCGCAGCTGCTGCGGCGGCAGAAGTCACTGCTGGGCCAGCCTTCCCAGCAAAGAACTCGTCACCCATTTTGGCCTTGGACTAAACCAAGGAATGACCTTCCACCAAAGGCGAAGGTCTTACCAAAGCTCCTGCAACTCTTGGTCTGCTGCTTAGAATCTGCGACCTCGTCTTGGGCCAAACAGGAGCTGACTGGCAGACTGCATTAGAGTTAAGACGAAATGTATACCTATCTCTCACAAAATCCATGTTCGTTCAATGGCCACACGCCAAATCACCATTCAGTAGCAAATCCCTCGCCATCAATCCAAAGTATTCATGAGTGAATCACCAAAATGAAGTGACCACTAAAAATCGCTCTGTGAGAATCCTGAAAATGTCGTTGGGCCGCCTGGAATCTGATTCCGATGCCCTGTAAAACCAAGTCTTCCGCTTTTTGCACAGCTTACTCACCGCAGGGTGCACAAACACGTTGTGAAAAAACACTCAGATCTTGTGCAAATCATTGGGCTGCAATCAGTTCTCCTCAATCTTGCACACCTGGCCGGCTGAGAACATCTGAGAACTAAGATCCCACACTTTCAGTGTGAATTCTCCTCTCAGAATTTGTGATGGTCTATGTAATGCGGCACAAACTCAATTGCCAGGGAGCCGTGCAATGGTATTTGTCCTCCTCTCATGCTCCTGGCACACACAGAATGCTTTTGCAAATTCGCCTGGTCGTACCGCAAGCCCTCCACAACGCGACTGTCCTCAACAAGCGCAGCCGCCATGCTGTGGCTCAGAACGACGCCGAAAAAAAAACATGAAAGCCGAGCACACAGGATTTGATTGAAAATATTGTAGCAAGTGTTGAGCAAAAAATAAAGGCGAAATTTGCACAAGTGTGCTGTATATACTTGAGATCAAGCAAAAGCGGGCGAAAGGTAGCTTAGGCGTAGGAAGATGTAGAAAAAGAACCGGGAAAAATAAACCGCAAATGGACATGACATGCAAAGGAGGCCGTGCTTTTGGTCGCTGGTATGGTGCCACGTCCACGTCCATTTCCATTGATCGCCTTCATGTGCATGCGGCCTTTGACAATCTATGTCCTTGTTGCCCCTAGTAAAACGCCTCGCACCTGTCGCACTTGAGTTGAAGCTTTATTGGTGATTTCCTCAACTGTCAGGGCAGGGAAGTGAACGGCACAGCTCGCGCATGATGCACGCGCAGTAGATGTCAAGTGACGCCTAAGATGTGGCAAAAAGGTGGAAGAAAGCTTGCCTTTCCTGGTATCATCAGTTTATTTATGAAGAGGGTCCTACATACTTTTTTGGGTGCGTCACGGTGCGTCATTTCTTGTTCCTTTGAAATTGCATGTCACATGTGGCATTACATGCCGCTTTCATTTGGTCCCGTCGCCCAAGGACAGCAGGCCTCATCCTACCATGAAGATTGGATTGCGTATGGCGGATGTTTTTTCTGGTGGTTTCGTCGGCGATTCGTACGATTTACTGTATCAGTGGGTTTTGGTCTCTGAAGGAGGCGATACTTGGGTAGCCTGCGGTTGTA